GCATCATAACTCCAAAAATATTCTTTCTTTTTAACTGAAATACATCGTTCAGCAGGTAAATATAGAAAATCGTAAACGAAACGCCAATTGAAATTTCCTTCACCATCCATTGAACTATTTTTTAATAAATAAATTAAAAATAAAAAATAATATTTTTAAACAAACCGATAATGTATATCCGTTTTTTGTACATCATCTTCATTTCCACTCATCCATCCTTTAACATAAATGTCAGACATTTTTTCTCCTGTTATAGATGTTTCTTGTAATATAACATCACTGGTATTCCAAACGATACAACGAAGTACATAACTAAAACAAAATAAATTGAATAGATAAATAGAAAGTAGTATATAGGGAGAAAGAGGATTAAAATTTAGTTAACGTATTATCTTAAATGAATAGAGTAGTCTGTAAGCATATTTCATAAGACAATTACTAATGAATGATTTAAAAAACTATACAATACTCAAACTTTTTATGTAACCGTTCACCAGTTATAAATATTCTCCGATTTTCTGAATCCTTTCTTTTTTTTAAAGACAACTGATTAAAAATAACTTTACGGTTTTGGTTTTCGTGGTGTAATATCAAATACTGGTCCTGGTGGTCCTTGCGATTTAGGAAAAATATCGACAAATAATTCCAATCGACCTTGTTCAATTAATGGTTGTAATGGATTAAAAAGTGGTCGAGTTTCAACATGTTCTGGACATAAACGTAATTTATGTAAGATATATAAAGCTAAACGTTCTTCATCATCTCCAACATGAATAGTTAAATTTTTTTCTTGTTCTAAAAACGAAATTTAAATAATAAAAAAAAATGTTTTTCGAATAATAAAAACAAACCAAAATCTTCTAGATGAAAAACTGATTCTCCAATTTTAATTGTATGATCATCAATTAATTCTGGTACTGGTAAATTATTTCTTTTACAAACATCAAAAAGTATTTTTCGAGGACGAACACTATCACGCCATTGATTTGGACCAGTACTTAATAAATAAGAAAAATAATAATATTATATGATTTTTTTATACTAATAATTCTTACACATTAAATTGTAATGGAAGTCCACATGTTGCTCGATATTTACTTAAAAATCGATTTTCTAAATCAATTGTTGTTTGTCCAATAACATCATCAGACGTTAATAAATCCCAATCTTTAATACGAATTGTTAAATCTTTTGCAGTTGGTATAACAGTTTTTAATTCAAACATTCTAAATTTAATAAGAATAGAAACAACAAAAAAAAAGTTAATATAATTAACTAACTTTCCAAAAATTGGATTTGTTGTATTTGGTATTCTTTCATCACGATTATCAATTCGAGTTTTTCCTAATTCAATTTCAATATAAGGATCTGATTTACCATTTGAATCAGTTGGTTGTAAATCAGTAGCACGAATAATATAAACTCGAACAATACAATCTTCTAAACTACTTGATGGTAAATTTTCCATAATACGATGTGGTAATGGTTCATTTGGATCTTCAGGTAATGGATAAACTTTAAAAAGACCTTTAAATTCTCCAACAATTTCATTTTCTTCTTCAAATTTGGTTTTTCCACGAGATAATTGAAATGTTCGACAAAAATCACTGAAACCTTCATAAATTTCATGTAATTCAAGTGGATGAGGAAGAACCTAGAATTATTATATGAAATTTAGAATATTAAATCATTTTTTATTCAATTACTGTTAATGCTTCATATCCTTTTTGTACATATGAACCACATTTATTCAATTCACCTTTCGATGCATAATATTTTGACCACCAATCAATATCTTCTTCAACAGGAGGCTAGTTAAAAAATCCAAAATATTTGCAAATAATCTCTGATAAATTCTATTTAAACAAACCTCGTCAATAACTGGAACACTTTGATATTGTTGATGATGTTTACCCATCATTGATTTTTGTATTTTAGCCAGTTTCGATTCGGGTTTCATTGGGTTTCCTCGTCCTTTATGTTTTTTCAAAAAATGTTTAACACGTTTCTTCATTGATTTTTTATCAACGATTGTTGTATCTGTTTCATTTGTTGTTAATGCTATTGTTGTTGTTGCAACTGTTCCATCTGCTAGATTATTTCCTGATTTTGCTTCCTATTTAAATTTTAAATGTTTTTGTTTTTGTCTTTGAATAAAAATGAAAGAGTTACTTCTTTACGTTGTTTTTTCGATTTTTTATCAGTTGATCCAGGAACATCTTCAATAGCAAGTACGGCAGGTGTTGCTGGAGCTTCTAATAAAATCGAAAATTTATTTCTTAACTATAAATTAATTGATTAAATCTTACGAGCAGCTTGCATAATACTTAATGATGGTGCATTTGGATCACATCGAAATGATTCAAGAGATTTAATAACATGAAAACCAACAACTGGTTTTCTTCCAAATGATCGATGATCTTTTACTTTAATATTCATTGGTGGTGCATAAAGATCTTCTTTTGGTAACATCTATATATAGAAACATTCATATGAAAGTAAGAAAATATATGTTTTTCTCGAAAATAAATCTACATACAACATCAAGAAATAATAATGGTCTATCGAAATTTGGTGTTTTCTTTGCACTTTTAATAATAGTTGATTCAATTTCATGTCCACCAACTTCGAATACAACTTGTGGACAATCAACATCTGATAACATGAATGTTTTCATATTTCGAATACCCCAAGAAAGAATCTTAAAAGAATATTATTTAAAAAAAAAAGATTATTTTTAATAAACAAACTTCGATTCCAGTTCGAACAAGTTGAGGTCGAATTGATTGTGGTACAATAAATAGAGAACCACGTCTTGGTGGTTGTGGAGGCATTTTTTTCTCGCTGTCCGTTTCTGGTAACTAAAGAAAAATAATAGAATTTTTGTTTTTGATTTGAATATTTTTCTAAATATAAAACTTACTAAGAATAATTCAAATGCAGCTAATAATTCTCCAGCATCATCTTTTCCTCGTTTAACAGGAAACCATTTCAATTTAACTGGTGGTTTTGTTTCATCAGGTACTAAACGAACAATGGGTGGACATTGAACACGACCAAGAAAATCTGGAGCTCCCTAAAATAAATAATATTTATAAAGCGTTTCTATTGAAATTCTTTTTGTTTAATTACATATTGATCTTTATCAAATAATTCAATTAAAATATTTGGTGGATCATGATGAATTTCATCTGGTTCACCATAAAGTTCAACAGTAGAAAAGATTAATGTCTAAAAAATAAATTAATTGAAGAAAAAAAATAAAATGTTAAATTATATTTACTTGATCCCAAGTAGGACATAATGATTTTTCAATAACTTCTGTACGTTGACTTTGATTAATGAAACCAATTTGCGCAAAAGGATCTGAAAAACTATCATGATCCATAGATAAAAGATTTCTTGCTGAATAAATATATGCACGAAGTTCATAGAAATAGGCCTCTAAATATTTCATAAAATAATTAATTTAATCTAATTTTAACTAAAAACAAAATATTTACTTTTAAAACTTAAATACATTCGTGGTGCATTTAATTCAATTTTAACATCTTTAGTTGGCGTTGTTGTTGTTGATGATGATGATGCATCTATTTGTTGTTGTTGTTCAGATTTAGTTGATGAATCAGTTATAGCTTGAACTTGTGATTGCATTCGAAATACAACATCTGTACTGGATACTGATGCTCCTGATGCATCAATCATATTTTGTTCAGCTGATGGAACCATTTTTCTATGCCAACGTCGACGACGTGTCATATCCATACTTCGTTCATCAGCATGAAATTTCATATTAAACATTGGTGCATACTCCCAACCTTCATTTCTCAAACCTTCTTGAGTTGCTTTTTTCTATTCAAAAACAAAAACAATTATATTTATTCTAGTAAAAAAAACAAAGGAATATCTATATAATCTAAGGGATATCTAAAAACCCACTTCAGCCTCATCAGATGAGGTAAGTAAAGATGTCATTTCATCTGTTGTATCAAAGAAAAGTAAATTTCCCTGAAAATATATTTCATATAAAAATCAATATGAAATAAAATTAATTACTTTTTTATCATCAACCGGTGCATCTTTTTTGATAACACGAGTTCGATACCAACGTCGTCGACGATTTAAATGAAATACTTTTTCAGTTGGACACCATCCACCAAGAGTTTGATTAACACAATATTCAAAACCTTAATAGACATAAAATAATAAAAAAAAGTTTATGTGTTAAACTTACCGTCTTCATCAACAGCTCGATTTGCATCAATACACCATTCATCTTCCCAAACCCAACCTGGTGGTGGTTCAATTCTTTCAGTTTTACTTGGAACTTTATCGCCATTCTAATACAAAAAAAACAAGAACAATTCTAAATTTCTTATTATAATATTAAATATCTTACTAAATCAGTCCAAGGAACTGCTTTTGGTTGCCATTGAGCTCCACCCATTATACGAGATTGATGTTCATATACTTCTTCAGTAAATTTTCTATGTCCAGCATCATCAGCATATCGAGCACTAATTAATATTATTAAAAATTCTATTAAAATTTTCGTTGCATTAAAATTTTTTTCTAACCTTATTTCTGGACTAATATACCAATCACCTTCCCATCGCCATCCAGGTGGTAATTGAAAATTCTTCTGTGGTAATGAGATCTTTTTAAAAAAAAATATAAAGTAAGAAATAGTTTTTGTTATAAAATATTCTTACAGTTCCTGTAACATCTGACCATGATGGTCTACTCATTAATGGTCCACCTGTTGTCCATTGTCCTAAAACGTTACTTTGATTTTCATATGTTTCAGCATAAATAGCTAAATCAGCTCCTTTTTGTTGTGATAACCAATCTTGTTCATGTATAGCTAAACCTAACCATATTTTAACTCGAATTTCTCCAGGAAGAAAATTTCTTTTATCTTTGTCAATATCACTCTCTTTTCCTGGCCATTTTAATGTTATTGTTTGAACTTTTCCACAAAGACGCCCACGACGATCAACATGTGATGAATAAAATACTTCATTGGCTGGTAAACGATAATAGGCATAACGTTTACCATTTGATAATAACCAAATAATAACATCAGGTATACTATTTTGTGGCTAAAATAGTTTAATATTATTAGGATTTTAAAAAAAATTATGTAAAGAAGAAATTTTTACTTCGGCTTCAAGATATTCAAGATTTTCTTTAATATCTTCTAATGTAGTTATAACTTCTAATGCTGTTTTGGCATGTAATTTTAAATCTTCTAATTTTTTAATCATTTCCGAAAGATCTTTCAAACGCATTTGACGTCTTAAACGATCAAGTTCATTAACATGATGACGACCGACTTCAGGTTCAGGTAATGGTTTTCTATATAAAAAAGAAAAAAGAATTTTTGTTTTGTTTATTTTATTAAATTAAAATTTACCTTAAATGAGCAATAACCATATCAAGAGATTGTTTATAATGTTTAAGAAGAACTTCATCCGTTGTTTGTTTAATTCTTAATAAATCCAATGTTGATAAAAGTCCAGTCTAAAAATAAAATTATGTTTTTTTGTCAAATTAAAAACTAATAATATACAATGAATAATTTAATTTTTGATAATTGATTCATTGCTTCCAAACGAAATGTAACATCTTCCCATTCACTTGAAACTTGTACACATGGTTTTGTATGTCCCCATGGTAAAAAATAATACGATGTTCCGTCAAAAACAGGATTTGTTGGTGGTGTTGTTGAACAACTTGCATTACCAACATCACCATCAAATTTATTTCCATAATTTCCAATACTTATTTCAAATTCAAGTGTAGATTCATGTTCATATAACATAGATGCATCAAGAAATGCAGCATGTAGTTTATATTTTTTACGAGATTGATATGGTAATGTACGAATTATATCAGAATTTGATATATCACCAATAGGTTCAGATGGTGTTTCACCAAGAATTGTTTGTAATTCAACAAATACTCGACCACGATAAGCAACACCTTCACCCTTTCAAGAAAAAAAAGATGAATAAAATATTTTTTATTGATAAATTTTATATACTAACTTTTCCAGTGTTTAATACATCTAAAGCAGTTGGAATATCCGAATATTCACGTGGTGCACCATACAAATTAATCCAACAAGGACCAAATGTTGGAAGAAAACCTTTGAAAAACATATGATTATATTTAAAAAAATTTTATAACTATTTCTTTTTCTACCACTATCTTTAATAAATACATCAATTAACCCAACACCAATTATATCACTGTATGTTAACCGATCCCTGTATTATCAAAAGCAAAATATTAAAAAACTTATTCAGAATAGACAAAAAATATCTATGAATCATAAATATAAGTTCCTTTTTTTTGCAACAGCTCCTTCTAGTTACACGATATAATTAACCTACACCAAAATAATAATAAAAAAAAGCTTTTTAAACTATTATTACAAAATCTATTAACTAAATATTATTATTCGGATAGACAGAACTACATTTATTTCTACAAAGCGAAATCCAGTTCTATAGAATACCCTTATCACTCAATTGACTAATCTGTATCATTTTAAGAAACGTTGTTCCGGTCCATTCATCTGGTGTTAATTTGTCCCTTTAAAATAAACATAAAAATATATATACATAATCCCATTCACTGTTTTTTTTAGAAATAAAAATATATATGTGCAATGAAAAGAAAACGAAAAATTTATGAACATATATCATTAATACCATTTTCTCGATCATCACATAATCGATTAATCTGAAGTAATGCACAGCCTGTTGTATCATCAAATTGTAGTCGATCCCTGTATATATTGAATTAGTATTTTTTTTATATGTGTAAATAATATATTAACTTCTCGACTTATTGTAATAAAAATAAAAGAATGAATTTAACTTACCAATCCATAACAGTGAGTGTTATTTTATCACACATTGATGGAAACTAAAAATAAAAGTTTTAATTAAAAAATAATTAAAAAAGATTAATATTTTACTTTAAGACCAAGTCGAAGTTCTTGATTGAATTCTGGATGTGAACATGTATAAACAATTTTCGATGAAACCTATTGAAATATAAGATATCTTTCAAATTTCTTTTTTTATTTTTATTTTTAAGAATACTTGTTGACCAGCAAATGAAAAATTAACATATGGATCAATCAATTCTTTAATATCTTCTGTTGCAGTAAAAATCTTTTTCATTCCATGAAAAAATGCACTATCCACTAAACATAAATAAATATATATAAATTATTTAGATAATAAAAGTTACGAACTTCTTGGTAAATCATCTGCTTTATATACTTTTAAAATAAATGTTGCTGGACGAAGCATAAGGCCAGCTGGTCTTAATAAATTACTTTCAATATCATCATCATCACCATCATTTTCTTGTGACTTTAATATTAAATGAAATAAAATTAAAAAAAAGTTTTTATTTATATAGAAAAATTCTTACTGGTGCTTCATCACCGGGCCCTAATATATTAACAGTTACTTTAAGATAACCTTTTGAACCAGACATTTTATCATCATCATCACTTAATAATAACCATTTTCGATTAATTGAATGTTTTAATTGAGAATAAATATAACCAATATCCATTTTAAATGCTCCAATTTTCATATCAGCTCGAAGTGTACGAGAATTACAAACTTCAAATTCAATAATTTCATCACATAAATCAGCTTCAGACATGTTGATATTAAAAAAGAAAACTTCATTAAAATATGGTTGATTTGTTCCTTTTTGAATTTTTGTTTGTTTTTCTTCTCCAACAACACGTACACGACAAACAGGATGTAAATTATTTCCATCTAATTGACGTGCTTGAAAGATTTTTATTCGAATCTAATGAAAAACGAAAAAAAAATATTTTCTTCAATACGAAAAAGAAATTTTCTACTTGAAAATCTTGTGGTTTAGTTGATCGTGGTTTATTCTGTCGTTTAAATGCTAAATCAGCATTATATTCTGCCATCCATGCTGTTTCACCGTTATTCTGTAAAGGTACATCATCAAATTGATTTGGATCACCTAAGAAACATAAGATTTTATTTAAAATAACAAAAATATAGATTTTTTTATTAACCATTTTTTGCATTTGTTTGTTGTTTTCCACCACCATCTGGTGAAAGATATTCCATTGTAATAAATAATTTCGTCTAAATGTAAAAAAAGAAAAGTTTTAAACTTATTTATTTTGAAAAAAAGGATGTATTTTACAGCTTCAAGTGCAACGCCTTGTGGATTCATTAATGGAACAACACGTCGTTTCACTGTACCAGCACGAAGAACTTCACTCAATGGTACTGTACCTTGTCCGATAAGTCTAATAATAGATGAAAGAATTTTTCAAAGATAAAACAAAATATGAATTTACTTATTCGATCCAATTGTTTCATGATCTTTCAGCTGAACTTCAAGCATATCCGTATTTTGTATTGGAATGCCATTGAGAGGAAAATCAAATGTCTAATACAAAATTTGATGTACATAAAAATCAAAATAAAATATGTAAATTTTTTATTTACTTCATCCCATTTTGGATCACATGTTGAACGTTGCCAATTTGTTTGTTTTTTAACTCCTAAAGTCAAATAATTGAAAATCTAATTAGTAAATTGAATAGAATTATTTAAATTAAGGAATATAAAACTACCATGATAAAAAATATTCACATAAGGATCTGGTGATCCTAAAAATTTTGCTGATGAAGGTACATTATTAGCATTGTGTACAATAATTTGTAAAATTCCTTCTTTTTTGTTAATATTAACATCACCCATCGTTTCGTTTTGTGTTTTTATTAATCATAAATCATATCTCTGTCTGTTATATTTTATGTTGCTCTTAACGCCTACATAATGAGTGAATGTAAAGTTCATACACGTACATACCTTGAAAAATAAGTGTTACCAATGGATCAACATTAGTAGAACGTTCTCCATTAGAAATACGTTCTGCATTGTGAACAGTAACTTTTAACATTTAGGATTAAGGGAAAATTTTAGGGGAGTCAATTTTAAAAACGCTGTGTTTTTGTCGTTGAAAATAGGGATGTTGATAATGATGTCAATAAGAGAGACGAAGACACGACAATGAATGTCTATCGAACAAAACTTTGATTTTTCTTGTTTTTTTTCTAATGTGATAGAGCAAGTACCAGCTGGTACACTAATGAATACGTCATATATAGAAGTATTGAAAAAGATGACAGCGGGGGAAGAAGAAAATGTTATTTGTCGTTTAGTATCGATTAACAAAATGTAACAGCAGCGACCTAGTGATGCGAAAGACGAACTTCAGTGTTCTTTCGAAAAAAAAATAATAAAAACTAACGATATTTCTAACTTTAAGCAATAATATGAGTATTATTCATAGAGAAATTTCTAGAATATAGCTTATGATCTTAACAATATAAAAATAAATTATTTCAATAACAATTGAAAGATTTCTTTTTTTTTTATTTAGTTGTTTAGGAAAGAATATTACTTTTATATTCTATTGATTATTCATTCTGTGACATTTATTAATCATTTTATATATCAAGTATTTATTGATTTGTCTTTTATCTAAAAGTAATATTATTGATTTACTGTAGATTGATAATTATGTACTTTCATTCAAATTCTCATTTGTATCATAAATAAATAGTAATAATAAATGAACTATCTATTATATACATAGATCTTATTTTCATCATTTAATAATATATAATAAAATGCATATTGTTCTTATTTATTAAAAATTATTATTCAATGGATTGAAACATGAGAATAGTAATTAAACTTAATAATATCTTCCGGAAAAACGACCTACACTCTCGTGAGCGTGTCACAGATGTCAATAATTTGTTTTTGCGATATAATTAGTTGTATAGAAGAATGTATAATTATCATAAGAATATTTCGTAACCATATGAAACAATACTCAGACATATAGATTCATAAAAGTTGAAAACAATTAATTGTGTTATTCGAAATAAACTTTATAATGTCCTTATTTAATATGTTATTTAAGTCATTTGGCAGATGCATTTTTGCCTACGTTTTTTTGATATAATAGATTTTTGTTACATTATTTATTTAGTCTGATGCCACATTTCTAAACTAACTTCTAGATTTAAAAATTTATTTTTTATAAATATAATCTTTATATTATTGTCATTGATGGGATATATTCAACATTCAAAAATTGAAAAATCAAGAAAAATTTAAGAATCCACGAAATATATTTAATCGTCATAGCTTAGTAATACAACAGACTAATGATTAACTATAAAGTACATTTTTCTCATGTGTATCAGTATATATCCATTATTTCAGATAATTTTTCGCGATTCGAGTACTTTTTACTTTGAAAACTAGCATTTTTGACTCAAGCATCACCTTTTTACTTAAAATAAACATTTATGCCACCGATGAAACTTTTGTCTAATCCTGTTATATATTATCCTTTATTAAAGAAGAACAATTTTTTGTCTAATAATTTGTTTTTATTTCATGTATTGATTGTATCATTTTCTTTTCCATCGTCGAAGGTTGAAAATAATTGTATAAGATCGACCTTATTTGTATTAAAATTAAAAATAAGTACATCAAAATCTAACTTTATATGTATATTATTGCTGTGTTACTATTAGTTTTTTAAATCGATTAATAGATCAGCTATCATGCGAAATAGTCGATAAGTAAAACAATAGTTTTTAACTAAAAACTACTTGTTGTTTCTTATACACATCTAATTCATTTTTTTTGTATAAAACATTTTCATATATATTAATACGCATAAGTCACCTATTCTTAGTCATCATCACGTATCACCTTTATTATCAATATTTTGCTGTTCTGTTCTCTTTCTTTATATACAACATGTGCAGTTTTGTTCATTTACTCTCCACCATAACTGTAGACAACTGTCATGGTTCAATAAACATGAGGATTTCAATTCTTGTTTCTTTTCATCCTGTATCAAATTAGACTGTAAGCAATCATATTTAACAATTTATTTTATATATTTGCTTCGATAATATCTTGTATTGTTTAGTGAAGAGAATAAATAAAATATGTTTCTAATAAATTAATTTTTATTGAGAGGAAAAAATTGAAGCATATAAAAGAAAAAATAAAGTAGAACAAAGAAAAAGGGAGAAAATGGTAGATTAAATAAGTGAAACTAACTAAAAAATAAAATGATATTAATGTTCTGTATTTCAGATGCGAATAATTGAAATCGACTGTTCCTATGAAGAAAACAAAGAAGTACTCATTCGAATATTAGAAATTAATTGAAATAATAGCCTGAATAAAATATATAAAAATAAAATACAATATTAGAACTATTCTTTCCTGAATATATAAATGAATAGTTTCAAGAAAATATATTTACCTTCATTACATTTTCTTCAAGTTCATTCAAATATGTAACTTACTTTTTAGAAGTATTAAAAAGATATACTAATGAGTAATAAATAACGATCAATGAATAAGTCACACGAAGAATGTGTTCAAATATTTTATAGAGTTGACAGGAAGATTTGAACGAACTATGTGACTGATAAGTATATGTGACTTAAAAACTGTTTGTACAAATGTTTCATGCAACTATTTTATTCACGTTGTATATTAAAGTTTTTACTCGATCAACTTATTAATGAACAAACAGCAGATGAACAAGTCATAGTAAGATAATGTTTAGGTATTTTATTTCATTTGAAGGAGAGTTTCTAAAGCGGTTCAATATTCACAAATAAATGACAGGCAAATTAATCTCACGAAGAATTTGTTTATGTATTTTATTTCATTCGAAGGAGGGTTTCTAGAACAGTTTAATATTCACAACATATGATTGACGAATTAATGTCACGAAGATTGTTTTTACGTATTGTATTTCATTCAAAGGAGAGTTCCTAATGAAATTCAACATTCGCAAACAAATGACAGATGAATTAATCACAGTAAGACTACGCTTTAGTATTTTGTTTCATTTGAAGGAGGTTTTCTAAAGAAGTTCAACATTCACAAACTAATGATAAACGAACGAATCTCACGAAAGTTGTGTTTTAGTATTGTATTTTATTTCAAGGAGAGTCTCCAAAACAGATCGATATTCGCAAACAAACGACAGTTGAATAAACAGAAAGAACGTTGTGTTTTAATATTTTGTTTCAATTCAAGGAGGGTTTCTAAAGCAGATCAGCATTCAAAAACAAACGAAAGATAAATAAATCTCACTAAGATTATGTTTTAATATTTTGTTTTATTTGAAGGAGAGGTTATAAGGTATTCTGGCACTCGCAAACAAACGACATAGTTGAATATATAAAAAGAACATTATGTTTTAATATTTTGTTTCATACAAAGGAGAGTTTCTACAGCAATTCAATATACATAAACAAACGACCGACGAATTAATCTCATCATGATTGCGGTTTAGTATTTTATTTCATTCGAGAGAGGGTTTCTAAAGTAGTTCAACATTCACAAACAAATGATAGTTGAATAAATTGCAATAACATTGTATTTTAGTATTTTGTTTCCTTCGAAGGAGGATTTCTACAGCAGTTCAATATTCACAAACAAATGATTGATGAATTAATCTGAACAAAATTGAGTTCAAGTACTTTCTTAACGTCAAAATGAGATTTCTACCTAACATTAAAAGATCTTAAAACAAACGACAAATGAACACTTCTAACAAACATCATATTCATATACTTAATTCAATCAAATTTTGAATTTGTGTTAAGTTTAAAGATCGACAAGCAAATAGACAATGAATAAATTTTATAAAGATATTGTGTTCAAATATTTTCGTTAGTTTAAAACCATATTCTTGTAAGATAAGATAGTCAAGAGATAGCGATTATGAATGTCTTATAGGAAGCTATGGTTCAGTTATCTTGTTGAAATCGAATTGATATTCTTCAGAGATTATTTGATCGAAGAATAGAGTATAATGAATATTACATAGTAAAGCTGTATACAGATATGTTGAAGGGCATACAACCTATTATTTGTATTAAAATATAAGGCTTATTCTCATATGTAAAACAAATTGAGCGAAGCGGAGATTTATTAAAATATGCTAATCACTTCAACACTACATTTGCCATTGCATGTCTAATCGGAGATAGTTCGATATATGAATTATAGAACAGTAGTTATATAGAAATATTTTAATTACAGAAACATAAATTAATATAATGAATATTGCAAGCTATAATCGCACAGAAAATGAATATTGTAATCATAATCAGATTCAGATATGTTTAACTCTTCAAGAAAATAGTTTTATTTCAAACAATGATTAAGTATTTCATGAAAAATGAATATTGCGTACTGTCATAATTTGTTCGAATATCTTTCTCGTTTATCAAAATATGATTGAAGTTGTAATATGATTGTATAATATATATTAAATAAATAGTTCTATTGATAATATTAGTCAAAAATCTTATATACTCAAGAACGAGGCACGAATTATTTTATGTACAGGGAATCAGTAGAAAATGAACAAGTAAAAGTAGCATTTTATTCAACTATTTTATTTCTTTTGAAAGCAAAATTTTGATCGTTCACATGGTCGCTCATCACATAATAATTGAATTTTTTGGACAAGGATTCTATTTGAATATAATGTTAGAATTTCGAGATAGACAGGTACGTTAATAATAAGAATAAAAAGAGTATGCTATATGAATGATTCTAAGCATAATTCTATTCAACTGTTATCAGACTTTTGAAGAAGAATTGAGAGTTAGTTTATGATTGATAAATACATTCCAAATGAATATTGAAAACCAATATTCTGTTCAGATAGACGCCATGCTATAAGAAACAATTTGAGATTTGTTTTGACTAATGAATACACTTCAAATGAATATTTCTAATTAGGGTTCTAGTCAAATATATTTCTCTGTACAGTTAAATTTCCAGATTCATTACAGTTAATGAATACACTGCAAATGAATAATTATAAGCATAATTCCGTTCAAATATTTGCGTGGTTAACAACAAATCGCATAATTGCGATAAAATTGGTGTCTATGTTGGCAATGAAAAATTCTAAAGAATATTCCATTCCAATACTTGTTCACTGTAAAAAAAATAGAGAAAAATCAGCAAGCATTCAATAAATCCGTAGTTAATGTACACTTATGAACTAGTCATTATTCAGCATTAATTTGCTATTACAAAAAGTTTCAGATCTCTAACATATAATAGATAAATATAAGGCTAGCAAATAGCTCAGAGAAGTTCTTCGAATATATTCTTATTCCCAACAAAAGTAATCAAAGTGCATTAGATGATAAAGAAATTCATAGAAAATGAATGACTCTATTTATCATTGTATTCAAATATTTTACTGAATGCTAGGTGTTTGATAAAAGCAATCAAAACATATTAGCTAATAAAGAAAGTCATAGCAAATGAATGACTCTAACCATTATGCTATTCAAATATTTTAATAAGTACCACATGTTTGACGAGAGCATACTAATCAATATAGATTATAGTTGTAAATGAATGAACGATACGCTTTTCAAGATATGTCTCGAAAAATCTCTTGATATATTCGTCGCTTGTATCGAGAGAATTATCATCATCTAAATCATTGTTGACGAATCTGGCCTTGCACATGGTTGAGCAGACGACCAATAAAACTAAGATACATACCAGTGTCTTGTTATTAATAGCCATTTGATTTATTTGTATTGGGTGAAAGAATAATATTGTATGAATATGTAGTTTGAAGCAAGGACTGCCTTTTAATCTTACAAGGCTATTCTCACTCGTTATATAGCCCTTAAGAATACAGGAGAGAGAGTAGTGAGAAAAGTATTCTTTTTTCTTTTCCAATACGAAAAAGACATTATAATTACAAAAATAGATACAGAAAAAGAATGACTGATCTTTAAGATTGACAGCATATAAGGGCCTTCATTTAGCTTTGATAAGAAAATATCAATTTTTTCTTTTCAATCCAAAGAAAGGCGTTGTCATCATAAAAAGATAGCTACAAAAAACAAGAATGACTGATTTTTTAGATTGACAGCATATAACGGCCTTCATTTAGCTTTGATAAGAAAATACCGATTTTTTCTTTCAATCCGAACAAAGGCATTATCATTAAATAAAAAATAGGCACAAAAAAAAGAATGACTAATCTTTGAAAGTTGACAAAATATTATAGCTTGCGTCTAACATCGATAAAAATAGAGAATGCGCTTGTTGCTTATGTTAATATTATCTCATACAAACAGCATAATCATATTGTAAAAATGTCGTTCAATATAGATACAATTTTCGACTATTCTTTTCATTTAATACCTATATCTACGTGATTTTCAAAACAAATATTACTGATCTATTGATCAATAATATACGTCTTTTATTTGAAGCAATATCTTTTGTATGGATATCATTATGATAGTCAAACTATATGACAGTTATGCACAAATGTTCGATTAAGAAAAAGAAAGGTATGATCAATATGAGAGTCACTCATGTGTGACAAAAACGAAGGATACATACAAAAAAAATCAAACGAGTGAATAGCAACAGAATTTCAAATAAATAAAATAATCTCACATTTACCAGCAATTGACAATCTACTTAAAATTAATTTGTTTTCACGATATTCTAATAAATAAGGTAATTTATATGAATTCCTATAATTCTCGATGTATATTTTATAGATTCTTCATTTGTACATAGATTTTTTTGAAGTACATTATGTTTCAAAAGTCATTTAACAAAAAAAAATAGAAAAAGAAATATAATTCAATCAGCGAATATTTGTTCTCTTTGTTATTCGCAATTTTGTTGTTTAATATCCACAAGAAATTTATTTGAATAAAAGGATTGACGAGAAAAATATTGCAAATTTTTTAAATTCAATATATTACAGAGTTCATATCGATGGACGAGAGATAAGTATTGATCTAAGAATATTGTAGGTGCTTTGCTTTTAAAAAACAATTACACAATGAAACTTGATAATATTTTCTCTACGTAGTCAATCTCATGGAATAAGTAATAAAGTGTATATGTTAGTCATAACAATATAATATTTTTTCTTGAAATACCAATATTCTCTACATTTTTTTCGTATTCGATATTCTCATTCTATCTTTTGATAAACAAAAGACATCATCAAAATCATGAGTATTATTAGTTTATTAATCAAGTTAAATAATCACTACAGTTTGTTTGTATTGTATAATTAAGTTCAGTCATCTTTAATAATTATATCAAATATTCTACGATATAGGATCAATACAAATACTTGATAGTACAGTATCTGATATAAATAAATCTATATAAATATTTCCATTTTCAAATGTACTTTTTATTTTACAGTATTTTTCAAACAATAGATTTTATTTGTATCTATCAAGGAGATTTTTTTGATTGAAATGCTGAAATAAATCATATCTATATATAAAATTCGAGTGTAAAAAAATTGCATGTAAAATAAATATAGCTATGAGATTTTACAAATGTCAGTATTTGTATCTATATTTAAATCAATACCATCAACTTTTTGAATATTTGCATTAAATAAATAATTGATAACATAACAATACGGACCATATAACCGGTTAATACAACTTCATTTATTAAATAATCCACATCAAGTGTTCAAGTAAAACGTAATACCTCTTCACGACGATTTTGAAATTCCTAAATAGATTTAGATAAACAAAAAAATTCATTTCTCATTTATACTTCATATTGATAGCTAATTCTTTAACTAATGATAGAAGCATTTAGTTGATCTATATAGATGCTTCACAAACAAATATTTATTCGAATTTAAGATTAAAAAAATTATAAGAAAAGAATGTATAGTATCGTTCGTAACAGTTCGTACACGATGATTATTAAAAATTGTAGATACTACTATTAAAATAATAAATAGTGTTAACTGAATCATTATTTGATAAAAATATCAGATCAATAACATTAAATAATTAAAAATTAAGAATTATTACAGAATAGGATATACTATCTTGTGACTTCGCAGAATCAAGTAAAAAAGCTAACTCTACATTTATTTTGTTCACAGTCTACTTTTTCTCCCTTTTAATCAAATTTGTATATTAACATTTTATGAATTTTGATAGTTTTTAGGATCTATTTTCTCGTTCTGAATATAGAAACAATATTTAAATACTGAGATCTAAAGTAATTTATTTCTTACATATTACGTGTGACAAAATAAATGAAGATGTTTATACATACATGAGTTGATGTAATCGATATCTTCAATAATAATAAGTGTCTTTGATACATCTGTTAATGATTTATATTGACCAATTTTCAATGTATTCTTATACTCATGAATAGCAACCGATTGTCAATCAATAGCTGTACATATTGATTTATTTAAAAAATCTAAATGTTCAATACCAGCACTTGATATTGCAGTCTAAAGAAAAATAAAGATTGGTTTTTGTTTTTTCAATTATTAATCTATACTTTATACTTGTAAAACGTTCAAGTCGTACAAATATATTTGTCGAAACTTTTCCTTGACAAATTCGTATTGATAATTCTAGAAGATCTGATTTTTGTGGACCTCTGAAAAATATCATTTGTTGTAGAGAAAAAAATAGATGCAAAAAATCAAAGATTTATGCCATAGATGACGTTCACGTAACATCATTAAATATATTGGTCAACTTTTAAGATACCATCATTTAGTTATAAACTCAAAATCACTCTAAATAAATAACATCAAAGAATTTTTATAAAAGAGTTCTTATTATAATATCAAAATTTAATATATATATATATATTAAATTTTTTTTATTAAAAACAAAATTATTTACTCGAATATTATCTAACAGTAGAATCGTATCATTTGACATATATAACTTATTCGTTTCAGATGTTCATGGGTAACACAAAACGGTTTTCGAGCATATTCTATAAGTCCAAAATAAAACATGTATTTCATAGTATTATCTGAATACTTTTATTATACAAGTATCAAACACACCAACAGGTCGGCCAAGACGTTCACTAAAACTTGTTGTAAACGAACAGATTCTGAGATTGCAGCAACATGTATAACTAAACCGAAAAATTTGACATAATATATATGTTATTTTGCATAAACTGTATCATATGCCGAACTTGCAATTGATTTTGGTATATTTGGAGTATATTGGTAACAGCAGTGAATAAATATTTGATCAGTAAAAAAATGATAAATTCAAATGAAAATTTGTCGTTTAGATCAAAAATAGCTGCGTTGATTTTTTTCACTCTATGACGGACATCAATCGATGTAATACAAGGTTATGTTTCATCACTTTTCTACTTAAAATAAGTATTTATGCTATCGATAAAACTTTTATCTAACTCTCTATATGTAGCTGTATTGATATTATTCTTAAAGTGAGGATATTTAATGTTTATTTTACTTATTAATTCCATTTATCAATAATAATCCAAATATTTGAGAAAGATTTTTTTTTTCTGTAACATTATTAATGACTACTATTGCTTTTATAAATATCATCATTAATCAATGATACTATCGATAGAATAATAAAAAAAATATTCATTTTTCGAAAACTTGTATAGGATTGGTTAAAAAAATTGTCCATTGACAACAGTCTCTCTTCGTTGCTCAACTATCACATTTATTGTATTGTTCATTTGTAATCTATATAAAGTGATGTTGTTGATCAAAATTTTGCAATTTCTGTCATTTATAGTCTGGCTAATTCGTAGTTTTCTCTCAATATGGATTCATCTTGGTGTTCGTTTAATATATGGCAATCAAAAATTTCGTTTACCACCTATTACAAATCAAATATTACTTCTACCAGCAATTGTAATTGCGAAACGTATTCGACAAAGACAAGTAAATGAATTGTAAAAACAAAATTAAAATAAAGAATTATTATTGTTTTTTCTTTGTAGTTAACTTCTTATGAAGTTGTACGAGTTCATATTGAACGAATTCGTGCTATTCAACCATATCTAAATGTTTATGTTGATGAACGATTTTCTGAAGCATTACATGAAGCTCAAGAAATTGATCGTACTTTAAATGATGTTTCAATAGGACACAGATCATTACCAAATGAATGGACTGAAGAACAAGCACCATTTTTAGGTGTTCCATTTGCTATAAAAGAATCAATGGAATATCCAGGTTTTCATAATTCAACAGGAGTTTCTGCAAGAAAAGATTATATTTCAACTTATACAGCAACATCAGTAGCAAATATGATCAAATCAGGTGCTATACTTTTATGCAATACTAATGTTAGTGAAGGATGTATGTGGTTTGAAGCGTAAGTTTTTAAAAAAATAGAAATAATATAAGTTTTTTCTTCTTTACTATTTTTTTCTCTAGACGAAATTCTCTATATGGTACAACAAATAATCCATATGATTTATCGCGAATTGTTGGTGGTAGTTCAGGTGGAGCTGGTTGTATTGTTTCAGCAGCTGGTGTTCCATTTGCTATTGGAGCAGATATTGGTGGAAGTATTCGATTACCATCATTTATGAATGGAATATTTGGTCATAAAACAACACCTAGTATAGAAAAAAATTCATTTTTTATTAAAGATTTTATTTTAAATTTCTGATTAGATATTGTGCCTAACGATGGTCAATATCCACCACACAAAGAATTTCATCAGAAATATTTACTATCAACAGGACCAATGTGTCGTTATTCAACTGATTTACAACCAATGCTTAAAGTATTGGCAGGTTCAACAAATATCGAACGATTATTAAATATTGATGTTCCAGTAAGTTCTTATTTTTTTTCTTTGAATGAGTAATCAAGGTCGAAGGTAAATGAGTACGAAAACAATATTACTATAATTTTATTTTAAATATAAACACATGACTCTATTAAGTTTATTTCAACTCTTTTATTCTCTTTAGGTTGATTTAAGTAAACTACGTTATTTTTATATCGATGAAATCGATGCATATTTTATTAATAAAGTTGATCGAGATCAAAAACTTGCTCATCGTCGTGTAAGTTTTAATTCTATTTTAAAATCAAATAATTAATTTCTATTATAGGTTGTTGAACATTTTGAAAATAAATATAAAATTCATGTAACACATCTACGTTTAAATCGTCTTCGTCATGCTATTTCAATTTGGTCATCAATGATGGTTGATGGAGAATTATCTTCACGTGATTTTTCTTTAACACTTTGTAATCGTACATCATATCTAAATAGTTATCAAGAATTATTACGAAAATTTTTATTTCGTTCAACACATACATTACCAGCTATTGGTCTTGCTATATTAGAAGCAGTACCAAATAAACATAATAAACGTTTTCATGCATTAGCACATAAATTTCATGATGAAATTCAAAGTTTATTAGGTGATAATGGAGTTTTATTTCTTCCAACATTTCCTACACCAGTTCCTGTACATGGTTGGCCTGTTATAATGAATACATTTGATTATATTTATTGTGGAATTATAAATGCAATAAGTTTACCATCAACACAATGTCCATTAGGTTTAGATAGTCAACAATTACCATTGGGTATTCAATGTATTGCTGGTCATAGTCGTGATCAATTGACATTAGCTGTTGCACAAGAAATTGAACAAGCATTGGGTGGTTGGGTACCACCAAGCCGCATTTCTTTAATTTAAACTTTTTGTTTACAATTAATAATAAACATTTTTTTTTGTATCATATAACATTCCATTAACATATGAAGTTTTCTCATTTTTGTTTAATCATCTAATTTTCTTTTCTTTTTCAGATGTCTGAACATGAAAGTGATTCATCAGATGATGAGGCACGTATTAATCAAGTAACAAAAGCGAAGAAACCTAAGAAAAATGTGACTTATCAACGTGTTGCTCGTCCATCGACATATGATGATGATGATGACGATGATAATGATGAAGATGATTTTAATAGACAACTTCGTTTAGAACAAACAAAAAAATTACAAAATCAAGCAGCAAAAATAAAAACAAAAACTGATCCTGATGGAACTGTTTATGAATGGGATCCAGCTGTTAAAGGATGGTTAGTTAAAAATATTTTTTTGACCAAAAAACACAATTTGTTTTCTTTAGGTTTCCAAAAGTATCTGAAGAATTTCTAGTAGAACATCATATGAATTATGGTCTAGAATCTTCATCTGGTATACGATATGATGTTCATCATCAAACGTATATACAAGAACGTGATGGAATGTCATATAAATTAGATAAAGAAACCCAACAATGGGTACCATTACAATCATATACTGATGAAAAAAATAATATAAAATATACATTTTCAAAAAAACATAATACATGGATACCAGATGTTAGTACTTATTCAACAAATGATGAAGAAGGAAAACCACAAACATATGTTTGGGTAAAAGATCAACTTAATTGGGCACTTTTATCAACTGTTGATAATTATACAGATCATGTGACAGGTATTAAATATAGATGGAATAATCAAACAAATAGTTGGGATAATGAAGGAACTGAACCTATTGAAGATGATACAGACATGTCAACAGAACAAAAAACAATAGCAGCAACAACAGCTAAATCATTACAAATTCAAAATGAAAAAAAGAAACCAGCTGAAGGTAAATATAGTTTAGAAATTATAATTTTTATGGTCCTACTATGATGTTAAAAATCAAAATACTAAGTCTTTTACTACATACCCATCATTTCCAAGAAATTTCAAAGAAATTTTTGAAGTACATTGTATTCTTCTAGTGTAATAAGTAAATATGATTCTAAAATAATTTTTTTTCAACACGTTGTTCTATAAAAATAGTTCAAATAGTAAAACTGTCATGTTTACATTAGACGATAGTTCGATTCTACTTACAAACACTTTTATATTTTCATTGTTAATATTTCTGAAATGCTTACATTGAATATGATGTAGATATTAATAATGGTGTTTTCTGAATGATAGAAATATCATTACTGATTGCTCTTTAATTATTTCTGATTCATTGTAAGCAATATATTTCTAACTTTAGTTTTTATATAAATACAATTAGAAATAGTCAAATAGATTTTTGATGATGTTAATCATATATGATCAATAGACGATGAGAAATATATTATATTTATTTATTTATTCTTAGGTTGGTTTGATTTACCTGATGAAAAAAATTGTAATGTTTATGTAACTGGCCTACCATTTGATATAACCGATGAAGAATTTGAAGAACTTATGTCAAAATATGGCATTATTTCACCTGATCCTAATGATACACGAAAGAAAAAAATACGTGTATACAGAGATGAACAAGGAAATCCAAAGGGTGATGGAAGATGCCGATATTTACGAGTAATTCATCTTTTTTTGTTTTCTTTTATTTTTTTAAATCTTATTTTTAGCCTGAATCTGTAAAATTATGTATTGATATGCTTGATGAAAGTGATTTTCGTTCATCGAAACTTCATGTTGAACGTGCAAAATTTGAAGTTAAAGGAACATTTAATCCTGAATTAAAACGTAAAAGAAAAAAAGTTGATAAAAAAACCAAACAACTACAAGTAGATAGATTACTTAATTGGGAAGAACGTCCAGAAGTCATTCGACATAAATATGAACGAATTATTGTTATGAAAAATATGTTTGATTTACAACAATTTAAAGTAAATTTTATTATTTTACGAAAACATATAAAAACAATTTGTTGTTTTAGATTGATCCTTTATTTATTGATAAACTACGAACTCGTATTCAAGAATCTTGTAGTCAATATGGAGAAGTCAAAAAAATAAATATTTATGATGTAAGATTTGAGAATTATTTTGAATAAAAAAACTTATTTTGTTTTCTTTCAAAGTCAAATCCAGATGGTGCTGTAACTGTTGGTTTTGCTGATATTGATCAAGCAGATGCATGCTGTCAATATATGAACGATAGAATTTGGCATGGAAGAATTATACAATGTCATATTTGGGATGGTAAGAATTTAAGATCATTCTTTGCCTTTTTTTTTTAAAAATAAATTGAATTTTTTTTAGGTTCAACGAAATATAATGTTGAAGCATCAACAGAAGAAGAAAAAGCAAGACTTAATGAATGGCATAAATATTTGAACGATAATGATGAAGAAGAAACATAATTTATTGTGTTTTTTTGTATAGTTTATTTGTGTATGCAATAAAAAAATAAAGAAAAACAGGTGATATTTAATTAAATATACGATAGTATAGGAATATAAAGAAATAGTTTTATTTATTAAACTTAGTCAGACTGAATATACATACAAGTAACGCTGGTCCGATGACTCGCTTAGCTCTTTCTCGTAGAAATGCATCCTCTTCACATTTACTAGAAAAACAATTGAAAATCGTGAAAAATAGATTTTCGATGTTTTTTTGACCTTTGCCACCTCTTCAACCCCTCCCTCACTATGGCCACCCAGCAGACCTCAAATTCGAACTCCCCACATCGAACTATCTCAAGAAATGTCTTTTCCGTAAAAGTGGTTTTCGATGTTTTTTTTACCCTGCGGACATACAAGCAATCAGACAATTTATGTTTACTGAACTCTTCTCTACGAGAAGGAGAATAAATTTAATTTAATTTTACTTAAATATTTGCAATTGGTATTTCAACCAAGATGATAATGAGTTATTAAAAAATAAATTGAAGAATTTTTTCTTGATAACTATTTTATTTTATAAAAACTTCAAGTGAAAATTATTTTTCAATGAGACATACATGCATCGAAAATAAAAAATATCTACAAAGAAATATTATTCATAGCATTTTCGTTTTCCAAAAAAAAACTTCGTAGATTGATTAAAAACTTTTCCTCCTATAAAATAGAATTTAAATAAATAAAATTTTATATCGATTTACCTAAGTTTATCATTAACAAATTTAATATTATTATTAATTTGTTTTATATCCTCATCTGGTATTGATTGTTGATGTTCAAGTAAAATTTGTGCTTTATTAAAATATTCTAAAGCCATTCGATATTCTTCTGTTTTAACATAAACAGCACCAATATTTGCATAGTTTCTTGCTACATCAATATGATTATCAGGCAATAATTTAAGTCTCATTTCAAGTGCTTTTCGTAAATTAATTAAAGCATCATCATATTTCTGCATATCAGAATATGCAATACCAATATTATTTAATAATGAAGCCATTTGTAAATGATTTTCAGGTAATTGATTTATTCGAATATCAAATGCTTCTTGATAATGATTAAGTTCTTGATTATATAAACCTTGTTTACTATAAATTAATGCTAAATTATGATGAATACAAGCACTATGTAATGGTAATAAACTAGTTTTTAATGCTTTAGAAAAATGTGTATATGCTTGATCAATATCATCTTGTTGAGCATAGACAAGACCAAGTGAATTATGTAAAGAAGATTTTATGAATTGATCATTTGATTTCATTTCAAGTGCTTTAGAAAAATAAATTAATGCTTGTTCATAATCTTCACGAGAATATAAACATAAACCAATACCATGATAACATTCTTGTTTGGAAATGAATTCGGAATTTTCTTTTAAAAGATGTTTATAAAAATGTTCAGCTGAATTAGGTGATATTTGTCGAAGAAGATTAGCTAATATTATTGGATTATGATTCTCATTAAGATATGAAAATATTTGAGAAAAATCATTATTTATTCTTTCATCATATAATAGAAGTTGAATAATCCAACAATCATTATTAATATCAAATACAACTGTATTTATTTGAAATATTGAACCAATAAAAAATAAAATTGTATTTTTAGTTGAAGTTAAATGAGTTATATCGATAAAAGGACGTTGTTTATGAAATATATAATCAGAAGAAATTTTTATTTCAAATAAAATTCGATAGATTAATTTTGAAGTTGGAAGATTTTGACGAAGATATATTAATGAATCATGTCGATTTTGATTTGCCAGGAAAAAATTATTAAATGATAAAAGTTCATCTAAATAGAAAAAAAAGAAAATATTTTGAAAAAACTTTCGTTCTGTTTTTATCTCACCAATATTTGATTTAATTCGTTCAAATGTATTTTTAGATAAAACTTGACTTCGATAAAATATTTGTTCGTTGGATAACAATCGAGATTTGTTTGATGATAAACCAATATCAATCATTGTTTTAAACATATCTTTTAGAAAAAATCTTAATGCAAATAAAATTTTTAAATCTAATATTAATAAAGATTTTGTTAATAATCTTCGAAGAAATGATTCGCGTAAAAACCATGATAAAACATGTTTTTTTGATTGATAATCATGAATAAATTCATCAATATGTTTAAGTTCATTTTCATTTAAACGATAATAATCTTCAATTATTTCAATAAGATTTGTTTTATTTAATGAAGATGAATTTAAACAATAATCATGAAGAAATAATTGATAAAAAAGAAAACGAAGATGATCATTTGATAAATTATTTGGTTGAAATATATCAAGATGACTATAAACTGTTATTGGAAGAAGATCACCTATATCTGTATAAGTTTTCACATCAGATGATAATTCTTTCAGTAGAATATGACGATCAAGATAAATTCCTTTTACCTAAAATAACAAAACAGTTTTATATAAATCTTTTTATTATTGGTGATGGTTTTTGTGGGTCCGACAAGGATCACAATGGATACATGAACTCCTTAGCATTTTTGGCGTTATATAGCCATACATATATATGTAAAACAACATTCACTATCGATACTATAATCATATACATTGCTCGTTTGATAAATTTGTAAAGTAGTAATTTTATCATGATCCTTCCTCAAAAGCTTTTTTTGAAAAGGCTATAGTTTAAGCTTTCATTCATCATATCTAAGACAAAGAAACCAGAATACCGTCCGAGGGTTGATTTTGAATCAATTTATAACCATAGATTACCGCAAAAGTCACTTTACCGTGAAATAAATTAAATATCTTCATTACAACTTGGCGAAACGAGCTCATTTCCTCTATTAATGATTGAGGCATATTCATACTCAAAATTCAAACGGATAAGGTTTGCAATCATTAATGCAAAAAAAAGAAATCTGTTCGTTCGAGCCGTTATGGGGATATTTAAATTGTTTCATGATAAAATGACTTTTGTCTCTATCCTGTTTATCGAATGTATCAAAATAGAACTTGAACTATGTCTATTTATTTGAATAAGATAAGAACAAATAAAAATCTAGTTTGAAATTAGAGACAAAAGATAAATATGACCTTAATTCTCATTAAAATATATTTTATAAAAAGAACACAACTCCTCAATAGTATCTGCATTAATATAAATAACTAAATGCAACATTTGCTTTACTAGAAACTTATTATTAAAACTTATTAATTTAAATAGTATGAAATAAATTCACATTTACATAACCCATCCTTATTCTATACATGTAAAATAAGCGCATACGATAGTTCTAAATCTTAAAAGTTATTCTACTTGAATATAATATAATGTAATAAACAATCAGAAAGATTTATTCTTTTACCTTTGGATATCGTTTTGTCCACCTATCATCAATAATATCTGTTCGTTTTTTATTCGATGTATTTTCTTGTAATATATAAATAGAAATAATTTGTGGTAAATCGTGAATATGTGATATAATATTTGTAACATATTCATTTGAAACAATAAAAAATAATTGATCATAATTTATTGTTTTAGTATTTAAAATAAATTCTTCACATTCTTCTATATCATTAAAACAATAAATATAATCAATAATCGATCGAAATTCTTGATCATTATCATTAATATTATTATCAAGACAAACAAGTGTAAATGGTTCAAAATTATCAAGTCGTTTTTTTTCTTGAGAAATAATTGAAGGTAATTTATTTGCTTGATCTTTTGTTATTTCATGAGATTTAGATTTTTTTAAAGAAAAACTTGAACCACTACCCATTATATAAATATATAAGTTCAAATCATCATCTTTTTACAACTCTAAGCAACAAAATAATTCTCTTTCTTTCCTTTTTTTTTTTTTCTTTTTTCGTTGTTCTCATTTCTTTCAACAGAACGATAATAACAAGTAATAGAATTTTCTTTTTTTCTTTCAACCTTTCTTTCTTAACGATGACAACACTCGTGATTGTATCAAGTCAACTACCTTAGTTATAAAATAATCGAATAAATAACTTTCATAAGAATTATTTCTGCTAGAATATTACGATACGTATATTGATCATTGACAATTATATTTAGGTCGTTGCTATTAACAATATTTCGATTGATAAATAATATTTTGTAAAAAAATTTACTAGGAAAAAAAAATAACAAATATTGATTTTAACGAAATCTTATATATAAAGTCATTTAATCTTAAGAAGTTTTTTTCAATGTTTGATCAGAATTCAATTACAATAGAATTCTAATACTCATTCAGTTATGACAAGTAATACTTGGTGTCTTTCAATCTTTTATATATCTATTGATTTTTTTCGTTTATATCAAAAAAGAAATAGAAGTTATGTATTGTAAAATTCTCTGATTTATTAGAATATTAAAAGAGGAAAGTGTACATAACACATTGATATAAATCAGTTTTAACGAACTATTAAACTCTATAGATATTATACTAATCTTATTGACCTTAATCTATATGTAATATCATTTTTAGAATAATAGATGGGTGAGAATTTTTTGAATAATTTTCGAGAGGAATAAAATGAAGTGCTACGGTTTTGACCGTTGAAAAGAAGCAATGAAGATGCATCGAAACTTTTCTAAAAAATATTTTTCTAATTACTTTCCTAATAGTTGTAGTCAGGTATTTTTTGAAGATTGCTTTTTTTCTGGCATTTGAAGACTTAGAGAGGCATATTAAAAATGATAACAGGATTTATCAAAATACGAACGAATGTTGTAACTCTCACACAAAAGAATTAATATGAAAATTTTGAATGAAGTATTTTTACTAAAGATAATAATCAGAATTCCTTAAACAAATCCTAATCAGCTAAATTCTTTTCTATATTAATTTGCATTTAAGTAATACATGATAACTGTAGGGGGATGAATCCTTCTTATCTCACGTTTATCTGTCAGATTTATTTGAAATAAAAATCTAACATTCTTTTTTGATAAAATAACCTCATTGACTTATGTTTTAAAATTATTATAAAAAATGTTTTTTTGACATCATGGAATAGATTTAATACATAGATGTCATAGGTAATTATATATTTATTTTCATATAAATAAGATGTCGCTGTTAAATTATTTATATTTCCTATTGATGTATGTTGGATCTATCTGTATTGTTGATGAATTTATATGACTAGTATAATGACACAATTCCATTTTCGATTTTCATATTTCTTAATAACTATCAAAAATAAAAATCCTTATTTTAGATATGCTCAATATATTTAGTCTTAAAGCTCGTCCTGGTGATGGACCATCAAGTGATGTCGGTGCAAAGAAAACATCAGCAGCTCTTCTACGTGTTACAAAAGGTTATTTCGTTATTTTATTTATGATTGAATTTAATTCTTTGATTATATTTTAGATTTAAGTGAAATCGGTACACTACCACCAACATGTCAAGTAACATATCCTAATAAAGATGATTTACTTCATTTTACACTTACAATCACACCTGATGATGTAAGAAATTTAATTTGAAAAAATATATAGAACGATAAATATTTGATGTTTTTTTCTTAGGGTTTTTATAAAGGTGGACGTTTTGTATTTTCATTTACGATTGAATCTGAATATCCTCATACACCACCTAAAGTAAAATGTACCCAAAAAATATATCATCCAAATATTGATCTTGAAGGAAATGTTTGTTTAAATATTCTTCGGTAAAAACTTTTTGAAATTTTTAATAAAAGAATTTTTTTGTTTTGGGTTTTTAGAGAAGATTGGAAACCTGTATTAACAATTTTATCTGTTATTCTCGGTATGGGCTTTCTTTTTTCGGTAAGATATAACAAAATTGAAAAAATGTTTAATTAAGTATAATTTTTTTTAGGAACCAAATCCTGATGATCCATTAAATAAAGAAGCAGCTGAAGTTTTAAAAACTAATGTAAACACATTTCGATCAAATGTCACTAAAACAATGGCTGGTGGAACATTAAATGGTGTTCAATTTGATCGTGTGCTCGTTCGATAAAACAAAATTAATTTAAAATATTAATTAGACAATAACATACAAGACATTTATTTATTGGAGAAAATTTTTCTTTTTTGTTTGCTATTTACATTTAAAAATAAAACAAGAAATAAAACGAAACTTTAAAACAGAAAAATTCTTTATTTAGTTCAATTTCTAGTTTTCTTAATTCTAAACTTATGAATTTAAGTTCATAGTTTTTTATATTTTATTTTCTAGTAGAAAAATTCAATCTTGATTCATTAATTATATCTTTAATTTTTCTTTAGGAATCTATGCGTGTAAATTAATGAGCAAATTTGTCTATCATATGTCAACGACAAAACTATGAATGCCTTATGAAACTATATCAATAGCATTTTAACCTTACAAATCTTGAGGGTGGGTGTGGGTGTAGATGTGTGTGCCAAGTGAGCACAGTATCCACACCCTCAAGATTGACTGATGATCAACTCGAGTGATTAAAGTAGGCTGTCGTAGTTTTCAGAAACTAGTTCTCTTATCTTATACAGCAGACTTTGCTCTTGTTTATGATTTGTTGTTACCTTTTACTGTCCTGGAAAAAATATTCGATAAACATACAAGAGTTCAAGTGATATTTATATTTCGATTTTACACAGCTTGGATTTTCTTATAGTGTATCTTTTATCTCTTTCATAATTAATACAAGATTATTTTAAAACTGTATAAAACTTGGCGTGAGTGTATTACCAAATAGGGCTTCTAGTTTATTTTACGTCATAATCACAAAAGTATAGTCACGGACACTAAGACACTTCCACTAACTTTCGATTGGCTATCAAATAGTTCACTTGGTTTTCAACTTATCTTCTTTTACTCATAAGAAAAAAAGTAAAACACTCATACAATCTACCATTATCATATTTTAGGTTTTCAGTTTCATATCTGATGGCGTTGGGTAATTTGATTGATTAAAGTTCTTAGCTTATTTATCTTATGATAGTCAGGCAGACTTCTCTCCCGACCTTGGAATAGGCAGTCATGTCCAAAATATTTGGAACCTAACCATATTTGGATAATACTTTTATTTGTGACAGATGGTCGCTTCAAAAATAAACTGAAAGTTAGATGCGTACTTTAATCTATCCGAGCTGATTGTTCTGTATTTAATCGAATGACACTCAATAATGAAATGTATGGATGATAAATATGAGTGGGTTATCACCGCATTTTTTCATGACTCCGAAACTATACAATATTTCTGAAAGCATTGATGATTACTTGACAGCAAGTGGTAACATATTATCCAGATCTTTTAGAATTATTCTAGATTTTAAATATTTAGAATATATGTAATATTTCATTTTTATACTAAATCTTATGTTATACAAAACGTCTTGATTTCTTGATTACTAAAATAATAAATATTAAGATCTATTTTTTCTAATCAAAATTTTGAGAAGAAAACAAATGTTGATGACGATTGTAGTACAACAATTTCATTACATTGATGAAATTCAATAAATGATGTTATATCTTGAGTTTATTTAAACGATTTAAAGCTTTATTATATAAGAAAAAATTCATCCATCAGTTGGCAGACAATGTGATGGTATTTTAAATTGAGTCTTTTTAGAGATATTAACATTTTTGCTAAGACTTCTATTGGTTAAAAACAAATTATATCTAACTGTCTTGTTGTCTTACATGTTCCATAATATATAAAATAATATATATGACAGTATTTTCAATCTCTATACATATTTATACGGAACAATTGAAAATATTAGTTGATTACAAATACTCATTGTATCTGAACACAAGTTTCTATCAAATAAAAACTAAAATAAAAGTGTAGTATATATATTTTTTTAATAGATACACTAGAAACTTTGTTAAAATGACTTTCCATAGTTTTGAATTCATCTATATTCCAATAATTATGACAATCTAGACTGTCTATTTGTAAATAGTTAATTATTTCTGTCATCAAAGTAATGTACAAATACTTCTCTACATTATAAAAAGGTTGACATGATCTTTATCATTAATACGTTTTAAACAGAATGCATAGTCAATCAAATAAATTAGAATCATGCAAGATGGTTTTAATGTAATTAAAGTTCTATTTTACAGAAGAGCAAACGAACTACAAATGACTATTTTTCCAAGAAAAAACTATGTTTTTGGACAAAAATCAATGAAAAATATGCGATACATACAAAACTTCTATCAAATATGAGATTCATATTGAAAATTTCTAATTGCAATTATTAACATAAATATTTTTCAAGACAACAACAAATTCTTTATATCTTTCGAACGTATAATCTAATTAAGAAGAACAGAGATCGATCAAATGATGTACTTTTTCTACAGTATCCTCCATTTTTATGATAAACATCTTATTTGTAAGTTGTTTTCACAGTTCGTTTAACGAAACGTGAAAGAATAACATGTTCTGATTGGTATTTACAAATTGATAACTATTAAATTTTGATTGCTTTCCCATTCTAGATTCAGATTTCCACTTCTATTCGATGAATCTCTAAGACAAAAATACTAAATGATTATTAATCTTTCATCAAGTTTTAATAAGAAATGATAATAAATAAATGTGGTTATACTATAAGATTATACATGCCTAGTTTTTTTTCTTCTTATATTCCTAGAGACTGTCGATAAGATGCCAGATTTATCCTGATAAATAATTTGTTTATCTTACAACTCACATGTACCAATACTTTACTACATTATTTATTTTTCTCATCAATAGATATTTTTGAGTTTTACAATAATATATTATAAAAAAAACAAATATGTTTGTTTTACTCTTATCTATAAATAATATCTTACAACACATTGATAAATTAGATTAAAAAGAGAGAGGAAATGATTTCTAAGAAGAAATGTTTATATTGTGAATATTTTTTAGGGAATACTATTAATTAAAATAATCTAAATGATTAGAATTATCATATTGCAATGGATTATAGCTTATTATTTTAAATAATATATTATATTGCATATTGAGAATAGATAAAAGTTTATCTAATAAAACGAGAACCTACAGAGAGTATCAAGTTCATGTATTTTGATTGTTTATTTGCACGAAGATTTAGCATTAATTATTCTAAGAACTTACATTATTCACTAGACCTGTTCTTTTTTCTAGCATATGCTTATATAACTGATGTTTTTATTTACGACGAACCCTTGATATCCATATTTCATATAGCATTACTAATAATCTATTTAATGATCAAAAAAAATGCTTGGATATACAAATATAGCCTAGCCTTTGCTAACAATTTATAATCACTTATAGATGTTCTAGTACTCAAACAGTATGTGCTTGCAATTAGATGAATTTTATTAACATAAATAATAATAAAAAATATATTGTCTTTTTTTTTATTATTATTATTGATTATTAAAAAAGAAAATCTCTGAACAGTCATTTATTCATATGTAATCAAATATGTATATTGAAGTACGTTGTTATTTATGTGTTGATTCGAATGGTTCGAGGTAATATCTTATGAAAAAAAGACGACAATGTATGCCTAGAAGCTATTGTAATCGTAGTATTTACGGTACAATATGATAATTTCCTTTCTTTGCCTGACGTTCTCATCATTCGTTGTTGTCTTTCATAATATCGTCTTCTATTTATCTCTTTTCCTCTTGCTTTTCTTCGTCTTGTTTTATGTATGATTATTTGCGAGCTTGCTATTTTCCTCTCATTTATAGTATGTGTATATGTATAGATAGATCGAATAACATACAGAAACATACACATATAGGGAGAGAGAGAGAACGAAGACAAGCAGACAAAAGAAGAGATTCTTAAAAATCTATCATCACCCATTTACCAATATCTAACAAGTTATTTTCAATTTACGACGTCAAAGTCAAAAATAATCAAGAAAATAATAAGACGGAAGTATTGCACATTCGATTATAATACAAAGTGGATAAACAGATTTGATTCATTCATGGGAAACAATACATTTAAGAGTATAATAACACATGAACACAGTGTCCTTCAGTCAACCGCCGACAAATTTTACTGATTGGGTAAGTTGGAAAATAAAGAGGATCAAATTTGTATTAAGTAAGATAAAGTCATTTTTTTGTTGTTGATAATAATGATACATCAGAAGATAGATTTTTATCATATGTATCTTTTTGGAGAATTGTTTATCCTTTGTCTATTAGTTATTTCAGCATTTTTCTTGTACAAGAAAGATAGTATAAGAACGGCTGTTGTTTTTTTTCTTCTTATTCATATTCTTTCAAATGTCATATAAATCACAAGAAACTTGACATGTACTTTTGTCTAATAGAAATATTAATCCTATTTATTTAAATACCTTAATAGAATCTATTGTTCAAAAGAAAACGATTTTATCCTATTTAGTAGTTTTCTTTGTAATAGAAAATAAATAAATAATAAACTTTGGTATTTCATATACGCATATATATATATAGACAATCAATAGCTTGTTGTTGATTTGTTAAGGATAAAATGAGTGTTTTCTTTTTTTTCTCTTCATGTTCTTACACAGACGTCATCAGGAGAAAAAAGACAAACGATAGTGACAATATACAGTTGCTTGATTGTTTCTATGTCTGTTTTCTATATTGTTTAAGCATACAGCCATAATATTAGAATTTTGGTTTCAGATCATTTTTTATGTATTTAAACAGATCTTATTAATCATTTCATTATCATAAAATGACACATTGTTCGATGATCATTTATGATAATGTAGAAAAATTGAGAAATGTATTTTTCATGATTAACTATAAAAAAAATCTATTTATATCACTATATTTTTTTATATTCTAATAAATAAACTTAATGGATATGGATTATTTTTATCTGTAAAAATATTATTCATTATATATAATAATTCTAATGAGATTAAACAGCATTTGAGTACTTTCTTTCACAATAAATACTTCATCACATGGTCTATTAGCCTAGTTTCTATTTTTTTTTTAATTTTCATTTTTTTCCTTGAAATACAAAAATAACAGATGGACTATTTATTGTAATATATTGTTATGTGGCACATGTTACCAACATTTATCCATTAGTAATTGTTGAAATATGACAATAAATGCACATGATTTTAGTTTGTACTTATAGTTTCACTTCGAATAGTTTTGTTTTTTTTAAACAAAATTTAGTAAGTAAAAAAAAGAAAAGAAACATATCGATCTAAATATATAGAAAAGACATGAGAAGAGAAACAAATCATTATCAATCAGCATCTCCTTTATTTCCTCGTCGATCACCATTACCTCAAAATGATTATCGAAGATATTCCTATGATCCAATTAATCGACCTATTGAATATTATTCATCTAATTCAAAATTTATCTTCAATGACATAACAACGATTAATCCACCTCAACTATCACCATTAGAAAAATTTTGTTATAAAAGAATGTGTAAAGCATGTGTTCCTGAACATATTCGTACTCCTGAGGAAAAACCTCAATTGATTGATATTAATATACTCTATCCATATGATCCATATAATATCGAGGTAGGACATAAAACAATTAGTTTTTGCAGTCAAATATGCTTATTAAAAAAATAATAGTATTATCTATGTAATAGAATGACATAAAGAAGAATTCAGTAGAATCAATCAGAATAATCATTAACTCTTTGTCATTGAATTACTTCATGACCCATCAAGAAAAAAAAAAGCTGTATTTGGCAAATATGTAGAATTGATTTCAATAAATAGTTCTTATGATAATACAAGACATTTTTTTGTTTATTAAGAATGTCATGTTACTGATTATAGAAATTTTGACTTTGTCAATATAAGTTATTCTTTTGTATATACATATGTCTAAAGATTTTATTTTATTTTTATTTTTTTGAGAAAAGAAAAATCTAAATTCAATTAAAATTGTTATTATATATATTATTATTATTATCCTTTCCTTGATCTTCATGTTATGTGTTAAAATCATTTAGTAAAACTATGTGGACGACAAAAACAATATCTGTTTATTTGACGTCAATCGACTGATGTATAAGGACATATTTTTGTATGTATATTTGTCAGTCGATATTCCGTCTCTAGACAAGATTAACTTTTTATCATCATGGTGACGATTTTTCTTTCGTTTTTTTGTTTGACTTTGCTCAACAAATGCGATGACAAGTATTTCTTTTTTTTTCTAACTTTTCTTATTGTTGTCACAATCTTATCTATATGTCTCGTTTCTGACAACATTGATTGGTATCAAGTGGTGAAAAAAAAGACGACAAACCTATTGTTACATTGATGTATCATAGAATAAGTTTTCTTTTTAATAAGATCTATGGCTAGAGTAAGATGCAATCGAATTTAATTAATATGAATACTTTTCATTTATCTCAGATTGGAAAAGTATATTAAATAGATAATTATATATATATATATATTGTTTTGTATTTTTAGCTTGAACATTTTACTGAAGAACAAATTGAAGGTAAATATACAAAAATAATTCCTATTGTAAATTTTTATGTTTTGTAATTTAGAATTTCGACAAGCTTTCCTATTGTACGATAAAGATTCAGACGGTGCCATAAATCCTAAAGTACTTGGACACGTAATGAGAACACTTGGACAAAATCCCACTGAAGACGAACTCAAAGGATTAATCAATGAGTTTGATTGCGATGGTTTGTAGATTCTATTTAATCTTTATTTGACCTGCTGTTTTTTTGTTTGTTTTTTCAAGGTAAAGGTTTGATTGATTTTGATGAATTTCTTCAAATGATGGCTAAACGAGCTAAAGAACACAATGAAGAAGATGACCTAAGAGAAGCTTTTCGTGTATTTGATAAAAATGGACTTGGTTTTATTAAAGTAGCTGAATTAAAGTAATACAAATATTTTATAGAAAAGAAAAAAACAAAAAAGTATATTTTTTTCAGACATGTAATGACCAATTTAGGTGAACAATTTTCTGATGATGAAGTCGATGAAATTCTAAGTGAATTCGATGTAACTGGCAATGGAATTATAGAATATGAAGGTAAATAGATTAAAGAAAGTAAATTTAAGATTATTTTAATTTCTTGTAGACCTTGTTAAAATGGTTACTGGTAAATAGAATAAAGCTTTCTTTTTTTTTTGACACACTTGTCTGTGATATTTATGTGTGTTTTCAAATCGGTTGTACGCTCATATATATTCATTCACATACCTCAAATAACAGAAAAAAACAAGAGAAATAAATTTTAATGTTAAAGTTTAACCGATTGGTTCATTTTGTGTATTTCTTAAAATTTTCTTTTTGTTGGTTTATCAAGAAAATAAAATGGGTAAATCCCATAAAATATTAACAAAATCTTTTTTTTTTCTTATTTGTTATTATATTTATTTTGATTACAAATTAATCTATTTGAAACTCATTTATCTCAATCGACTATGTTATACTTATAAATAGTTAATTTAGAAAATTTCTTGTGATAAATGATTAATAAATATGTGAACAATATCCAGATGAATATCATAAATCAAGTTTATACTGAAAGTTGTTAATATTAATATATATTTAGTTTTATTTGATAATCATCGATTGAAGTTTATTGGAAACACATATCAATTATATTAAAATAAATCTTAATCAATGCCATGTAGATAAGTATTTGAAAATCATTTTACATATTCAGATTTTCATATTTTATGCTAATTAATATGACTTTTTGAGTCTATGAATTTACGTACTTTAAGTAATATACGATGGGAAGCATTCGACTAAGACGACAACTATATAAATCAATGTGATACTTAATGATAACATTGTTCGGTTTTTAACATATGTTATTGAATACACCATAACATACTGTCTCTGAGATTGTGTCATCTGCTATTGATGAATGTACTGACGCACTATCTTCATGTTACAATAAAGACAGGAAAATGAGAAACAAATTCATATCAATGCAATATTGAATGGTAATATGTCATCATAAACGGTATAATTTCTAAATAAATAAGATCTATGATATATATATATATCAATCATAGTTGATCTTAAATTCTAATAATGAACAAGATTTAGACTACAAATCATTATTGGTATAATAGACGTTGATGACTAAAGTATCAAAGGTTATTATAACGTGTCTTTAACAATAAAATGATCTCTATTGAATGTTTTCGATGATACGTAAGTAATTCCAAGAAGAGTTGTAGCTTTTATAATGTATGAAAAGTATAATATTTTGGGATTGTTAACTAATTTTCATATACTATCGGAATTTTTAAAGAAGACACGTGGAAGAAAAAGGCATAACGATCTGCCGGTTTCAGCACGCAATAGAGGATAATCGGGGGGCACATGTCTATACATGAAAACTTTTTCCCTAAAGTATCTTTTTAAATTAATTTTGATAGACAAAACCTCAGGAAAACTAACACATTTTGCACAAAAATGTTTTTTTCGAATTATTTTTAGTAGTTTTTTGATTCCATGGGCCTTTTTCAGAATAGTATGTAAATAACTTCGAAGATTTTCTTTTATAACATTTGAAATAGATCAGTACGATCTACAAAAACAGTGAACAAAATTAAAAATCAATTTTTATGAAAAATCCTTTTTTAAAACTAGCCATAAATGGTACTTTAGGAAAACATTTCTCATTCATAAGCGTGTGCCCCAGACTGTCCTTTACTGAATAGTGAATACTGCAGGTCGCTATAACTTTCCATTCAAGAGTTATAAGCTTTTCTTCTACGCACCTTCTTTAAAAAATCCAATAGTAGTTCTATTGAATTTTAATCTAAATAAGGAATTTTTCAATCTTATACAATCATTTTTTTACCCTTAGTTGATGAGAAAGATGTTACACTCAAAACAAAATCAAAAGACAGAAACTTGTTCCCATCTTAATTATTTATTTATTTGTATCAAAAACAAATTTGCGTGTACAAATAAAAACAAAAAGTAGAGTATGTCATACGTTAGATGGTATTTGAATTGGATGTATAGGATTATATTTTCTTATGATTTTATTTAGGGCTTGTTTTAATTCATAACGAAATGTTTTTATTATTAAATTTAATAATGGTGAAATACTTATTTGAATAAATTGACAAAAATATACAACCGATTGAATAAATTGCTCTATAATAAGTTGATTGGAACTTTTTATATTAGATTTTGTAATTTCTTTATATACTAGATATAACGATGTAGGTAATCGTAGAATAATATAAATAATAATTTGAATTACTAATAAAACAATAAGACGTCGATTATTTTGTGATCGATTTGGATTTAAACGAATTTGTCTTATATTTATTGATATTTGAATACCAAATCCAATCATTAATAGAAATGGAATAATTCCAATGCAAACAAGATTATAATAACTAACAAATGCTGCTGGAAATCCTTGAAAATAAGTACAAACTTGTGTACCATATAACAATTGTATGTCAATAGTAAAAAAAGAATGTAAATGAAAAAGAATCCAAAAAATACAAATAATTCCAATCATAAATATTGCAAAACGTCGATTACTTTTTGACCGAGTATGAACATTAGATGATGAAGCGAATGATCGATCAACTGATGCCATTACTAATAAATACGATGGAATAATTGCTAGAATAAAACTAATATAAAATTGTATACGACAAAATATTGACGATTGAATCGATGGATTAATATTAAACAAACTACTAAGTACTGCTAAGACAATAGTAAAATTGATATACATCATATTAATTATTACATAAGCAATAAAATATAATCCACATGGATTTCGTCTTATTGATCTTTGAAGAAATACGAAAAGACTCATAATTCCACCAATATTTCCAATAAGAATACATAGTGAATATCCAATACGAGTGATCTGTTGTTCAATTTCAATTAATAAACTCGATGACATCTGAACGAACGTATCTCTCTAATAATAACAAAGTATTAATATTTTCTAACAAAAAACAAAAAACTTTGATAAAATGAGTTGTTACCTTCAAAGTTAATTCAGTAATGAGTATATATTAATAGAGAAATATAATGGTCTATATTTTAAGTAAAAATAAACAGAATTGAGCATTATATCATACTTACATGATTTTGAAACGCACTTTTATAGTAAATTTTGTTTTTTTGCCCTCTAGAAGCTTTAGTTCATAATTTTCATTAAAAATAAATGTCCTTTGCAATTTAAATCATGAACTGATAAAATAAAAAAGTTTCTTTTCATCTAAACCACACTAATATATAATTGTTTTGTTATATAGTTATATAATTATGCAAATCCTGACATATGACATTTAATTTATCTATTGACACTTGATAATTATTAATCAAAACTTTCTCCATACTAAAATTATGAACTGGGTTACTGTAAACCTTAGACTATAGTATGTAATCATAATTTTTCTCTAGTAAATGTACTATGTCATAGACAGATATGAGTCACAAGTGCCAAAGTATATACTCGTGTTAAAGCCTATCTGTGTCTGTTACTGATCTTGTAACTTTAACAACATTTAAAAACGTTATAATGAGGTTGTCAACGTTGAGTGTCAGAAACAGATATAGGAATGCAAATCTAGATAATGAATTACATAAATATAACTATGATCACAAACATATCATGCTTTTTCATAAAGATATTGTGAACCTATATTATATGAACTATATTCGAAGACAGAGAGGAGGTACAATGAAATTATTATGAACGCTTAAAGCCTCGTCTACTGCAATATTTAGCTGTCTGAAATAGACTATATATTGTTTATCTCTTAATCATTCATATGGTGTTTACAGAATATTGAAAGCAAATTTGATATTATGAGGGCTATCGTTCAAGCTAGCTGTATTCACAACAAATTCATTCAACATCCTATCTCATGGAATCTGATGTGAATTCGAATGACAACGCCAGGAGTAGATTGAATAATCTAATCCTAATTGCTCTTTTTCTAAATTAGTGCTTAATAAATCAGTATTAGATTTATAGTACTAAAATTCAATTTTATTCACTACCAGGATTTCGATCGATTCTTTTATTAATTCTATTGAGATTATATGATCTAATTTAATCACATAAGTACGTTTTAAGCGTTGGATGTTCATTTAAACTCAGACTAAAGTAGCGTCATCTATGTTTAAAAAAATGTAATACGTTTTTTTCTAATTTTCATTTAAGATAAAATATAAAAATGTTTTGATATTCTAATTTAATAATTAATCATGAAATGAAAGAGGCGAATGGACAATATATAATAACCAATGAATTTAAAATTGAATTCCATCTTTGTTCTCTACTCTTATGAATGGTCGGTTTAATCAAAATCTCCTTCTTTTATTCTTCTGTTTAATAATTGAACAAATTATTTTCTTATAAAACTAAAATATAAAAAAAAACAATAATAAATGGCTGGCATTTCAGCAGCACGTCTTACCGAAGAACGAAAAGCTTGGCGACGAGATCATCCATTTGGCTTCATTGCTGTAAATTTCAATATCTTATTTTCCTCTCATTCATATTTATATATTTTATTTTTTAGAGACCTTCAAAAAATGCAGATGGTACATTAAATTTACTCAATTGGGAATGTGGTATTCCAGGTAAGAAACACAAAGACTAATTAGAATAATTTCATCGTTTCGTTTTGTAGGCAAATCAGGTACGTCATGGGAAGGTGGTTTATTCAAATTGCGTAAGTACAATAAAAATATTTCGTTAATTTATATATGAAATTTTTTCTTCTGTTGTTTAGGCATGGTTTTTAAAGATGATTATCCATCAACACCACCAAAATGTAAATTTGAACCACCTCTATTTCATCCAAATATTTATCCAGTAAGTAAATTTTAAAATATATAAAAACAAAAAGAAAGAAAATTATTTCTATTGAATAATAAAATAGAGTGGAACAGTATGTTTATCATTACTGGATGAAGAAAAAGATTGGCGTCCAGCAATAACAATAAAACAAATTTTACTTGGAATTCAAGAATTATTAAATGAACCGAATCCAAAAGATCCAGCTCAAGCTGAAGCATATGCGATTTATATGCAAGATAAAGCTGAATATGATAAACGTAAGAAAAGAAAACATCTAGAAATAATTCTTAATATATATAAATCGAATTCTTTATTCTAGGAATTAAAGAACAAGCAGCACGTTTTCGTGCAACGGATATTTAAATAAATGACAAGAAAATTTATTTTGTGTACAAACGGACAGACAAATGCATAATTTGCATCAGTCTTCTTTGTTTCTATTCTTGTTCTTCTTTTTTTTTTGTCTTTCCTTTCATGCTGTTCGAGTATGTTAAACTCGAGAAACGATCTTTTTTTTTGTCTCTATATGATGTATTCATGTTTATTCATAAATACTTTTGAAAAAAAAACATTGATCATCAACAAATAGAAGCAAATGACTTATGATGACCAAATGGATTTTATTTGATTAAAAACTAAAACATCAATTATTTTTTTCTCTACGAATAAATTATTGAGAAAATCATTTAATCGATGTCTAGAGCTAAAAATATTATTGCTGATTATTCATAGAACTCGAAGATTGAAATAATCTATTTTGTGTCTTGATATTAAATGTAACTGAAATTCAACACGCTATGTTAAAATTTCTTCGCATGATAATTAATATTTTATAATCTACCAATGGATAATTCCTGTTTTAATCATCTACATTCGTTGATTTGGAAAAGTAAATAATTTGGCATATCATTGATGATTTAACGTTGTATGACTAGATAAATTACTTATGTAATCTCTTTTTATTATTAATAATAGAGAACCGCGCCATTTATGAGTAATCACATAATATAAATGAATGTGACAAAAAGATAAAACATAGACTGAAAATTTATAGGTTGTATAGTATTTTATGTGATATTATACTTAATATTCTCGCGGAATTTGGACATTATCCTGTAAGTTCATGTAACATTCTTTATCTTTATTTTTGTATTCTTGCACAATCGAGAATATTCTATGCGTACCGTTTTACTTTTTATTATCAGTATGCTAAAGTACATACTAGGCATATATTTATCTATCTATATATATAGTCCGAAGTAACAGCATATTAAATATTCTATTGTTTTCTCAATAATTGAATAAACAGGTAAGTTTTTTCGTTTCATATATAATTAATCATTAGAATGATTTCAATATCTCTTCAAAAATCATATAGAATGAACAACAATATAAGTATTTGTCTTAATGTTGACACTAGTATTCATCTTTTTTAATCGTAAACAAAGAAGAAGAGACAAAAGGTTAAAAAAGAATGTTTGATAAGAAATAGAAGTGTAGTAAAGAGATTGATGCATATATCAGAACAAACAGATAACAAAAATATCCAAGTATATAATAAAGCGAACATTGCATACATTTATTCATTTTTTTTTCGTGTATACAACGAGAGATGTAAGTATGGCATATATCATTCTCATGTTTTATCTTAACCAATGTATTTTATACATAAGTATACTAGATAAAATTATTGTTGGGTTCTTTTATTTTCAGATTTTCTTTCATTCATTTACATTTTTAAATAAAAAATAAAATGTCAGCTACTATACAAACCGCAACTGCAACCTCAGGCTCTGCCACAGCTCATACAGCTGTTGCTGAAAATGTTTCTGTTCGATCAGTTGTTAGCACTGAATCACAGTCGAAAGTCAGCATGGAAAATACACAAAAAATGGCTGCTTTAATGGGCAGACTTGGTAAATTTATTTTATAAGATTTTAATTTTTTAATCTTATCATTTTATTTTTAGGTACAACTCATCAACAAGTTGATGAATATGCTCGTCGTCGTACTGAACAAATTTCAGAAGAAGTTGCTGCTGCCATCAGCCGAATTGTTGCTGACACTAGCATTCAACAACAAACTCTTTTAGCTGATGCAAATGTACGTTCAGCAGCTATTGAAGAAGAATACAAACATAAATTACAACAATATGTTGAAGAACTTGATGTTGTTAAAGCACAAAATTTATCAACACTTGAAAAAGATTTAAATTTACGTCAAGAAATGATTCTTGAAGATGCCCGAAAACGTATTGATGCCTTAAATGAAGAAGCTAATCGTTTGAAATTAGGTGTTTTACGTGAAGCTCAAGCACAAGCTAATGCTCAAGTTGAAGTTATCACTGACCAAGTTGCTGCGTAAGTTATTTTATTATAAAAATAATGACAAAAATAAAATATAGATAAATAATTTTTAGTTTGAGTGCTGAAGATGCTAGCCGTCTTTTAACATCAACAGCAACAACTGTTATTACAACTGAAGCTAAAGCTACTGGTACAAGTCATGTTGAAGGTGCATCAGTTGTTCTCGGTACAACAGCTGAAACCGTTCATGCATCATCTTCACACTCATCTAGTTCATCAACAACCAAACACTAACTAATTATTTAAATAATAATATTTTTAAACATATTTATTCAAGCATTTTATGTTTATTTATTAAAAATTTTCATTTGTTAATATTTGTTATTGTTCACACTTAATAAATAATTCAGCAAATTTTTAAATAACGAAATATATACATATCAATTACTGTTCTATAATAGATTTTCTAACTCGTACTAAAAAATATACTCTTATCTTAACACGTGTCACCTGCACGAGTATATATTACATAGATTATTATTCAGAAAAAAATGTGATAGTAAAATTAAGACATTTTTTAATCTTATTCATTAGAATGTTACGATAAAAATGTATCACGAAATATTCATGTTTTAATATCAAATAAATAAATACTTACTGTGAGAGAACGTATATACATATATCGTAGAAAATAGATCAGAAACTTTCTTATCTTTTTCTTCATAAAAAAAAGATAAAGATAAAACACAATATTTTTATGTTTTCGCCAAACATCGTGTTACAGGTTTCAAAATTTGAAAAAATAGGTGTGGGTGTTGATATTATATTTATCTCACACCCTCAATTGACTTATCATATCTTGTATCTTTACAATTTCTATTAAATCTTAATATGGAATGAAGTTATTTATTAAAAATAAGCACCGTCGTGAAATAAATATATTACCAATTACCAAATAAGAAGAAATAATAATAAAAAAAGACTTAAAGAAAAACGAATTTATGTGTTTTAGATAAATCTAAAGCCAAAGTTTTCATTGTTAAAACTTTTGTATTTGCATCAAATGTCCATTTATTCGTTGCTAAATCTTGTCCATTCCAAACAATTTTCGTTGGTTGTGTTGTACCATAAATAGATACTTCATCTAATTTATTTGTCATATCTGGAAATTTATATGCCCATGGTTCAATTGTTAAACGTTGTGCATCATAATTAAATATAAAATAATTATAATGTGATGTTTCATATGTATTTATTGATTCTCCATCATCCCAATATAAATCTCCTTGTGCTCGTTGTTGATTGTCTAAAGCAACATATAAATAAAATGAATTTTTACGTGATAAAACTGTATTCATAGCCTCATGTTGATGTGGTAAAATTGAACCGCCACGTAAATATAATGGAAGATAATTTCGTGCTGCTGGTACAGTAATATTTCCCAGTGTTGTAATTTCTTCACCTGTATAATAATTAAACCAACGTTCAGTTGTTGGTAAATAAAGAGTTTTTGTTGTATGTCCTTCATAAATAACAGGAGCTATTAATAAATGTGAACTCCAAAGAAATTGTTCATCTAATCCCCAACATTCTGAATCAAGTGGAAATTCATGTGCCATAGAACGAACAACTGTTCCACCTGAGATATGAACACGATGAAATAATGTATATAAATATGGTATTAATCTATAACGTATTTCAACAGCATTACGATTTGATTCAACAATTTCTGGTCGAAATATTCCTGGATCTTGATCCATATGTCTTATACCATTATGATTACGAAAGAATGGATTGAATGCACCTAATTGCATCCAACGTTGACACATTTCTTCTGTTGTATTACCTTCAAAACCACAAATATCAGCACCAACATATGGTATACCAAATAAATTAAATTCAAGCATTCCAATTATATTATGTTTAATATGTGACCATGCAGCAGTATTATCACCTAACCAATGACCAGAATATGAACCGGATGTTGGAAATGTTGAACGACTGATAACTATAGAACGCTTATTTTCAGTTGCACGAGCTGCTGGTAATGTTGCAATAGTTTCTGACCAACCATATAAATTATGTACATCATAATGTTTATAAATTTTTCCTCGACCATCAGTTTGTTCACCAATCATACAAAGTGTTTTATCAGATAATTTATCACCAAATATAACAGTTTTATATGGTGGTGATTCTAAAGGTTCTTCAAGTGGACAATGAAGATTCCATGGATCTTTATGAGGCCAATTCCATGGTTGATCTTTGTTTGTATCAAAATTAGCTGGTTCACTAGAAATAATAATTAGAAGAAATTTAAAAAGAAAACAAAATATTTATTTTTTTATTACTTCATATCAATCCATAAACCATCAAATTTAAGTTGTTGATAATAATTTAATATTTGATTTTTCCACCATTCTTTAGCTGGTGGATAGAAATAATCAGGAAATACAGTTTTACCTAGAAATATTAAATTTATTTATAGACAAACTATTCGATTAATATGCAATAATTCTATTCTCGTTTTTTTTTTATTAAATTCAGTTGTATTCGAAAATAACTATCCCTCCTTAAAAATGATCTATCAATATTTCATCATTTTAAATATTATGTTCAGATGGATCGGTTTGTACGTGCCACATATCTGTCGATCTATTTCTGTCTAATTGATTTTCCTTGCAATTATTTTGTATATAGAAATGAGTAATATCGGTGCAATTACTGAAAAATTGTCAGTGAGCTCACTGGGACACCGACATTTACCGATATATATATATATGTCTAGAACATCAATAAAAGTTGACCTTATCTTTGTCAGCCTTTTTGGATGAATATTAACTGCGGAAATCAATAGTCAATTTTAACTTATCTTTTCTCTAAATATTTTTTCTATTGACTATATATTAGAAATATCAACTAACCAACAGGCCACACATATCCGAGCATGTTTCTATTTTTTGTTTCATTAAATTGTAAATTTTTATCTACTGGCCATTTAATCCAAATATCATCTTTTTGTCCTTCTGAATAAACTGAATAATCTGGTTCTTCCGAATCAATAGCTGGATCAAGAATTGTAATAAATCTCATTCCTTGTGTATGTAACCAATCGACATATTCTGGTAAACCTTTAAAACGAATTGGATCCCAAGTAAAATCAAGTTGTTGTCGAAAATAATCAATATCACCATACCTAAATTAAAATATAATATAAAAGAATTTGAATAAGATAAATTTTGTCTTACATAACATCAAGTGGAATTCGTCCATCTAAAGTTCTTTGCATAGCTGCTTTCATATTCTCAAGTGTATCATAACCGTAACGACAAAGTTGGAAACCTAATGCCCAATAAGGTGGCATATATGGATTTCCAATAACACTTTGATATTGTCGAATAACATCTTCTGGACGTGGTCCAGCAAAAAAGAGTATATCTAATATACCTCCAAGTGTTCGATATGTAAGCATCGATTGATTATCTTCAAATTCATCTAATTTATAATCTTGAGCATTTGAATTAAATATTAAAATACCAAATGCTTGTCCATCGTCTTCAATTGCCATATAAAATGGATGTGTACCATATAAATTTTCATTTCCTCCTTGTGGTGGTTGATCACGAGCAAAGACTCCATAACGAGATGAACCACGAAGAATATGTCGAAATGATTGATGAGTATTTTCACCAAAACCATAAACATTTCTTGATGGAATTGTTGTTATTAATTGAATATATTGATTATCATAAATGAAACCTTCAGCAAAATATGATGTATCAAATATAATTGAATGTGTATCTGTACGTTTAACACGAAAACCAGATTGACCATTTGTTGTTTTAGTCATTTCAAATTTAAGTTGAGCTTGACCAGATGTTGTTGGTAATGATGGTTTCCAATTAATAGGTACAGGAACTTCATAACGTTGAGAATTATCAGCATCACGAGCTGTGAAACGTAACATATGTGGACCTGACACACTAACTTGTACATTTAAATGATCAATGTCATGATTAAAGAGTGAAAAATCACTTAATCGAGGTGAAACAAGTTGTTTCAAATTTGATTCTGTTTGATTATTAACATGAGCACGATGAGTTGGTGTTGTTGATAAACGTGATAAAGAATAACGTGTAACAGCTTCAGCTAATTGTTGTGGAGGATCAGTTTGACCATATCCACCTTTTTCTTTTGGAACAAAACAAGCAGGATAACCAGATTCAGCTGGTAAACTCCAAGTACATCCACGAGCTGCACAACTATTACTTGTTGAATCTAATTATAAAAGGATATAGATGAAATCAAATAATCAACGATATTTACCTGGATCTGGATGACAATCAACTCTATATTTAGCTTCTGTAAGAAGAGCTGGTGGTGGTTCAATTGTTATTGTTTCTGTTGTTGTCCAAGTTAATACATAATTTTGAGTCATAGATAATCCTAAACCATTAACATCAACAATTTGTGTATGTGGTCGAATTTTTGGATGAACTTGTTTATCAGCAATATTAATTACAGCTGGAATATCATCTAATCCATAAATACTTAAAGAATCTAAGATTAAAGTTGACATTTGTGAATAATTATTATCAACAACATTTATTGTTAATTTATTTTCTTTTGTTGACCATTTATATGTTGCTGAATAATATGATTTTGATCCAATTGTATCAATTGATTCACCATCATCAGAGAAAATATCACCTTCAGCATTACCATTTGCATCTACGGCGATTATTAAACCAAATGGTCTTAATCTATTAATAGAAAATTATCATTAAAGAATAAAGACAAAATTCTTTTTTTTCAATAATTTACCTTGAAGCTTTTGTATTATTAGCAAATTCTTGTGTTGGAATAATACCACCACCCCGTAATAAAATTGGAATTGTATCTAATGGTGCTGGTAATGTTATAAATTGTTTTTGATATGGAATTTTAGCACCAGTATAATAATTATACCAATGTGTTGAAGGAATATAAACTTGAACTTGTCGTTTAGCATCATCTGTAACTGGAGCTATCATTATATGAGATCCAATAAGAAATTGTAGGAAAAGATCAAGAGTTGTTTTATCAGTTGGATATTCATGAAACAATGGTCGAATAACAGTTGAACCTTGTGTATGTGCTTTATAAAATAATGTATAATAATATGGAAGAAGTGTATAACGAATACGAAGTGCTGAGACCATTATTGAAACAGCTGATGATGACCATGCAGCAGGATCTTGATCTGGTGTTTTCCATATATTATGCTAAATTCAATTAAATATTTTAATTTAAATACACAAAACAAAAAAGAATTATTTACATTTCGAGAAAATGGATAAAATGCTCCAACTTGCATCCAACTAAATAAAAATCAGAATTCATTTAAGGAATGAAGAATAAATGATATATGTTTAATACCGAATACACATTTCTTCTGTTGGTGTTTTATCGAAACCACAAATATCTGCACCATTAAATGGTATACCAAACCAATTAAATTCTACCATACCAATTAATGAACGTTTCATTTCATGCCAAGTAGCTTCATTATCACCGAGCCAATGACCAGACCACTGACCCGAACCAACATATGTTGAACGTGGTAAAACTAAACTTCGTTTACCAGTTAATTCTCTCATAGCATCTAATGTTGGTTTAGTTTGACTCCAACCATAAAGACTAAAAAGAAACGCATTAATATCATTTTTTTAATTTAACTAATTAAGATTTATGCTTAGAAGAAATTCTATCAATTCATCAAGAGTTTTCTTACTTGTGAACATCATAATGACGATATTTTGGTTGATTTGTTTCTGGATCAAGTTCTCCTTGTGGAGCTGACATACACAAAGTACGATCAGATAGACGATTGGCTCGAGTAGTTTTTTGATCCCAACGATATACAGCTTTTGTACGATATGGTGGATCTTCCCAATCATTTTTAGGACATTTCAATGTATAATTACTTCCTGTATCCATCCAATTCCAAGGTTGTGCATCATTTGTATCAAATAAGGCTATTCAATATATGTAATTTAATAAATAAAAAAATATAAAAAAATATTTACCAGGTTCATTCATATCAATCCAAAGTCCATCAAAAGTTACATTAACACGATGAAAATCTTTAATCCATTTTGACCACCAAGTCTGTGCTCGAGTAGTAAAATAATCTATATAGAATTAATTATATTTTTGTTATTTTAAATTTAAAACAAAATTTTTACCTGGAAAAAAGACATCACCTGGCCAACATGAACCTTTCATTAATCCTTGTCCATCATGCCATTTAATGAAAACATCTTGTTGTATTCCTTCTATTGTTGGTCCATAATTTTTTTGATCATCAATTGTACCAGGATCCAAAATAACAATTGTACGTACACCTTCACTATTTAATTGAGCAAAATATTCTTTTAAACCTGCAAAATTTATTGGATCAATTGTAAAATCTTTTTCAGCATCCATATAATCAATATCAGCATATTGAACATCAAGTGGAATACCAGCATCACGATTTCGTTTAACAATATTTTTCATATGAGTTATATTTGAATAATCCCATCGAGAAAGTTGAAAACCTAATGACCAATATGGTGGTAAGATTGTACGACCAACAAGCCATGTATATTGTTGAATAACTTGTTCTGGTGTTGGACCAAGAAAAACAAAGAAATCTAAAATACCACCAATGGTTCGAACTGTTAGTGATGGTGTTGGATCAAATGTATAATCCATTGCATTTGAATTAAGTAAAAGAACACCATGCATACGACCTGATGGTATTTCATTTGAATTTGCTAGTTGTTCCATGACAAGATAGAATGGATGAGAACCATAGTGATTAGCATTGACATCCCAATTTGTTCCTAGAAAAACAAAGTAAAAGATTTGTTTTATTATTATTTTTGTATACTTTAAGTATTTATAGTCAGTCACTCATTACTATATACTATTGACTTCTCATGCCTATATTTTTCATGATGATCTTATAATTGTTCTTTACTGTTAATTAGAGTTTTGTAAATACAAAGTTTGATATAGTTTATCCTATTCTTTTAAATAACAAACCTTGATCACGAGCAAATATGCCCCATGATTTTTTTTCTTGAACATTATGTTTAAGTGTATCATGATTATTTTCTCCAAACCCATAAACATGTGGTGATTGAAGACGTGTAACTATTTGAAGAAATTGATTACTTAAAACAAGACCACCAAGTGATGTATCAAATAAAACAGCTTTATCATCTCGACGACTTATTGAAAATGAAAGAATATTATCACGTGAACTATCCGATGTATAATTAAATTGATATTGTGGTGATGATACCTGATCAGAAGGAGGTCTTAATGGTATTGGTACCTCATATCTTTTATTGTCAGCATCGTATAATTTAAATCGTATAATGTTATCTGTATAATATTGAGTATCAAGTATAACATTTTCCATAGGTTGTGAAAATATACCAGCCATTGCTGAGTTACGTTTTAATCTTAATCGTATACCATTGTTTATTGTTTCTTGAGAACCTTGTAATATATAACCATAATTTGGTGGTAAATAACATTGTATAGCACCTGAATGAGCACTATCGTCAAATAAACAATTTCGTGCTAAACATGATGCTTTCGAATATCCTGCATATGGTGAACCAGCATCAGGAAAACAATCAATACGTTCATTAGCACGTGTTACTTGTCTTCGTTTTGATTTACGTGCAGTTGTACTTGATATTATTATAAATAATATTATACAAAAAATAACTGCCGATGAAAATCGAATTATTCCCATCGAACGATACTGCCGCAGTAACTATATCAAAATAATAAAAAATAAAATAAAAGTATAATTTAAGTCAAGAACGATATGAAGAAAAATAACGACATTTATATGAAGCAAATAGAAGAAAATGATGTGAAATAAAACAGGTGATACTCACCCTCCTCCTGGATTTTGGTATAAGCCGACGTAAATACATATGAATAACGATGATAGCGATATTTGATAGTAGCTTTGCATACTGCACTTAAAAGTGCATGAAAAGAGCAACTACAAAAGCAATTTGATTTAATCAAATAGCTAAGCAATTTATTTCATCTACAAATGAAAAGTATAGCAAAGCTTTTGCGTTGTTTTTTTTTAAATTTAAAATTAATCATATGGAAGTTTTTCTCATATACCGAAGAATATCATTTGATAAGATGATGTAATGAAATGTACTATTTTATTTATCTAGATAGAATTAATCAAAGAAAACGTTGTATTATAAATATTTATTTCATGATTTCTATTAATTAAAAGAAGGAAATTTAGAAATTATGCATGCATTAATTAAGCGGTTATATTTAGTTACTGCACATTGAGTGCATGATTAAATCGAGCGTAAAAAAGAAGCACATATGTTGCCTTTTTTTACGTTCGATTTCTTAAGCAATAAAAATAAATAAGAACACGTGCCCAAACCCGATGGCACCATATTATATAAAAATTAATAAGTATTTTTTTATCAATAAAGCATAAAGCCTGGTTACTAAGCCAAAACAAACCTTGTATTTTTATTGATGTCAATTCTATTTTCAACTATTACGTTCTTCTTCTTCTTCTTTCAAAGATCAACGCAATAATAACAGAGTATACTTTCATGTTTTTTTATATATTCTAGTTGTTAATACTTCAGTAACTAAAGATTACTCGTATCAAACTAAGATATTGATAAGGTTAACATATTCTATTTACAATATACTTTTAGTTTTAGTCGAAAAACAAGTATGATCAAGAAAAATAAAGATAATAAAATAACAACTTAAATAAAACATTTCTCTTTCGATGCGAACAAATATACTTCTCCTTTATATGTATAGATCAATATATGTACTCCATGAACTTGTAACCTTTTTTCAATTAAGATGTACTCTTTATAAAAAATTTTAATGGCTTGAATGTATTGATCTATAATAGAAAAATATTTTGTTCATAATTGATATAATTTAGATCAATAGATGCCTCAAAACATCGCCATGACATCGTATACTAGCAAATAGAAGTTTTCAATGCTTTAGATTGCTTACTAGGATATACTAAAGAGTATGGTCGTTATTTTATTTCTTTGTTCGTGAAAAAATATGTATGTGAATTATTCATCCGATACGATATTTGTTTTTTGATTATCTAATATAGTCCTAATAGATGATATATATATATTTATGGATAAACAGGCGAAAATAAAATATAAAAAAGGATGGTAAAGAAAAAGAGTGTAAAGTTCGGGTTAAAAGCTCAAAACTAGAACTCCGTTCGTGAATCAAAATCAATTTCCTCGTACATTCAGATTGGATTGTATCATACTACGAATCAAAAACTATTTGATAGCCTTCAAATTGAATTCAACCAACAAAATTGTCAAGAGCGACATCTCATAAATACAAATTTTAAAACTCTCTTTTATGTCAAGAGTAATTGTTCAAATGAAACATTTTATTTTAACAAATTTAAGCAATAATTCGTTATTAAGTATTGAACTTACGATGGAATCAGTTCGAGTGGTTTTCTGGAAGGAGTTTTCAGTTTACTACATGATACAAGTACCAACAAAATGCATGAAACTTAACAGTTACAAGCCTTGTACTAATGAAACGATGCTAATACATGTTGATTTGACTAATATAGAATTTAAAAACTAACTTATGACACCTTGCTGATATACCGATCTATTCAATTCACTATCGCTACTAATTTTGAATTACCTCAAATATCACATCTAATAAAAGTATTGTACATATCAATATGTATATTTTGAGTTCAATATACAGATCATGCTATATGAAAATATTGTATCAAAAGTACCATTAATTGATCGATATTTTGGTGACATCTATTGATCACACTGATGAATTTATTTATTTAATAAATAAAATTTTTAAATAATGAAATCATTCAAAGATATTTGATTTTTTGTAATTTTTTCTACTAAAAAATAAATAAAACAATTTCAGAAGGCTTTTACCATAGATAAATTAGTTCTAATGGTTTTAGATCCAATTCTATATACATTAAAATCAAAAATAATAAAAACGATGCTTCCATCAATAGATTCTCAATTGCAACTTAAAAATCTCACAACTCCACAAGAAATCGCAACATCTAATTCTTTAAAAGCACAGACTCGTCAGAACTCTGCAACTAGTAAATGGGCATCACCTATTTCAGGCACATTAAAGTAAAGCTAGCATAAAAATCATTGCTTTTATATTATTTATACATTTCTAAAGCGATGAAGCACTTCGTGCAGAACAGGAAAAACAAGAAAAATCAAAACGTCTTGAACAACGACGAAAACATCTATCTGCTATTCTTGAAACTGAAAAAAATAATTTTCAAGTAAATATTTTATTTTCAAATTAATAAATCACTGTTTTATCTTATTAATTCAGACTGAACTATTATCACATCGTCAATCAGTATCCGCAGGAGCAGCTCGATCTAATTTTCTTCGTGAAATTTCTGATAAAGATCAACCAAAAATAGCCGATAACGAATTTCATCGAAATTCAATAGAAGAACCAAAATTAGAAAATTTACAACTAGATGAAAAACGTACATTGTATCAACCACAAGAATTACATCAACGTTTCGATAATGAACAAGGTAATCAATATGAAAGAAAAAATCGAAATCAACAATTAAAAATAATTCTACAGCAACAAATGGATGAATTCAATCAAAAAGAACAAGAGGTACTCACATCACTACTCGTTTTTTTATTTCGTTCTAATAGAATAAAATAATTTTAATTTAGTCAGAAATCTTAAAACAAGAAGAAGAACGACTTCTCAAAGATCAATGGGAATTAAAACAAATTGAAGAAGAAAGAAAAAAAAATAGAAAAATCTTCAATTCAACCAGATTCCGGGTATATTTTTCTCTATTTCATTTTAATAATATTTAGAATAATATTATACATAGATAGATCACATCAGAATATTCACAGATGAGTTTATAAGTTTAAGTGAACATAGAAAGGTAAGAAAAAAACTACGCTGATTAAATAATGAATGCCTAACAGAACTTTGAAACAGTATGATTCATAGTTAATCTTCAGTTCGATATCCATCTCATATTCTAGTCTTAATGGCAGTTTTTGAAATGTTTATTTTTTATTTTAGACGCCAATTATTACGGCAACATAAAGCTAAATTACATAAACGAGCAAAGGAAATTCAAGAACAATTGGTTTGCTATATTTAATTATGATTTTTTCTTATATTTAATATTTTTTAATAATTAGGAATTGGATATAAAAATTCTTGCATCGATTGTTTATACTAATGAACAAAGTAATTTAGAACAATCTGAACAATTAAAACGAAATGTTTTAAATACACTTCAACAATTTCAACAACAAATCAAATTAGAAAGAGAAAAAGAACAAGAATTTGATGATATGTATCCGTAAGTATTTCAAATAATATTAAATGTGTCTACCTATAATATGAATATCATTTCTTATAAAGAGACGATGCTGCTAAATACTGGTCTCGTCGTGAACAAGAATGGAATCATGAAAGAGAAATACGTGAAAAATTAATCGAAGAAATTATTGAAAAGAAAAAAGAAGAAATAATAAAAAAATTGAAACTATTAAAACAACAACAAGAAGAAATACATGATAAACAACGAATACTTATTAATGATATGGAACAAGCAAGAAAATATGATTTGATTGAAAAACAAAAGCAATTAAAAGAAAAAGAAGTATTAAAATATTAATTTTATAACTGAAATTTTTTTATTTTTTTTTATTAAAGATATCAAATACACAACAAGAAAGAGAAAATTTTCGATTAGAATTCGAAAAACAAAATATTATTGAGCATGAAGATAAAAAACAAATGGATCAATTAGTACAACATGAAATAGCTGTTAATACTACAACTAATGAACCTAAAGTAAGACACTTTTCGTTTTATTATATGATTATTTTTTTTAAAATTATTATTTAGTTCTATGGTCGTCGTCGAGCTAATTGGAATTAATTCACTTTGTATTATATGTATTGTTGTAATCTTGAAATATGTGTTAATTTTTCAATATTTCAAATAAAGATAAAACAAAACCGATTTAGTTTTCTTTGACATTGTCAAGTAACAAAATGACAATTTTAGATGATATCTATTATTATCAAATATATGAATCATATTATGAGTAAAGAGTAGAATTAATAATCTTATAGATTGTATTTTCTTACAAATACTATTGATATTACGAATATACTTTTAAATGTTATCAGTATTATATATTTGACTTCGTCTTATCTTTATATATCATCAGTCATATAATATTTTATAAGAATATGCGTTCTTTTTAAATATTTCATAGAATATTTTCAAAAAAAAAACATGTTTTCTCTTTCGATTATAAGTCTTTTTATTTTCACTGTGATTTCTTCGATTAATAGTCAATGTATCCAGCATCAATGTACGATAGAAGAAGTCGGTTCAACATGTTGTTTTAATCTTGGTTGTTGTCCAGCTTCAAATAATATCTGTTGTTCTAATGATCCAACAAGTTGTTGTTCAACTCAATATCCCGTTTGTTGTGGTGTTGGAAAAGGGTGTTGTCCTCAACGATATCCAGTTTGTTGTTCTACTCATTGTTGTACATCAGGTTCATATTGTTGTGGAACGAAATGTTGTCGACAAGATTTATTAACAAATCGTCTTATTGAAATAAATGATAAAATATCAAAAATAAATCAATATCAAAAAATAATGATGAAACTTTATCATCAATAAGAAAAAATTTGTTTTTGTAAATATTTTTATTAAATAAAATTATTTTAATTAAAGTCTCATTTAGTAATTTAAGAAGAATGATTAATATGTTCATTTTTCATCTACTCTCATTAGTGCCTTAAGTTTTTGAGATCTACTTTATAATTAGGAGAGATTAGAAAGACTTTTTTTCTTGTTATAACAATTCGATAGTTATGAGTAACTGAATCTTTTTCGATATAGTTAATTTCCAATTTCCTTAATATGTGACATTAATAATATATCTATTCTACAGGAAACAGATGCAACTTGAAACTGTCTTTTTTCTACTCTCCTCTGTTTCTATTTCATCGTATTGTTGTCTCTATGACAGTAAATATCAATGTCATACAAAATTATAATTAGATTGTCTATGATTTAGAATTCTCTGATGATGAATATATCACTTTATTACTTTCATCAAATATAATATAATAATCAAAACTATATCACAAGAAAATATTATATAAAAATAATATGATATTTATCCTAAATTTGATAATGATTATCAATATAAATCAATAAATTTGGAAGAAGCTGTAAGTTAAAAAGTATCTGTATCGCATATGGCACGTCGCAAAAGACATGACATCAATGCGACTGTGTAATAGAAGTCCATTAGTAGATGGATGTCATGCATATTCATTAAAACAATATGTTAACATTTTGTAGCAGAATGTTTTATTAAATTACAAATTCAACGACGTCATCATGTGTTCCCTTGATTATAATAAAAAAGAATAAATTCACATATGCACATTTGTCAATATGTCAATGACGTAAGCATTTAATATATTATGTGCCGATCTCACTTTTTTTTCTATTTCATTCCTAACTATGGGTAGTCGGAAGTCAAAGCATATTTGTTCTAAAACAGAATTAACTTCTACAGAAATTGCTGAGATTTGTTCTAAAACAAATTTACCAGATAGTGAAGTTCATCGTCGTCATTTAGCATTTCTTGAACAATATCCTACTGGCCTAATTACACGTGAACAATTCTATGACAGTTTAGATGAAGTTTGGCCAGAAAGTCATATCGATAAATTTGCTTCACATCTTTTTACCATTTTGTAAGTTTTTAATTATTTGATTTTTATTTTTTACAAATTAAATTCAATAGAGATCAAGATCGAAATGGTGCAATTGATTTTATAGAATACATAAATCTAACACATAAATTAGATTCAAATAATGTTAATCCACAAAATCATGATGAAACAATATTTTTTGAATTACTTTTTGATATGTTTGATAGAAATCATAATGGGTAAGTTATTTTGTTTTTTTGAATAAAATGTAATTAAATAAAATTCAATGTAGATATTTGGAAAAACGTGAATTAAAACCATTGATTGAATCGATATATGATTTAGCTGGTTTGTCATCGCATGAAAGACGTGGATTAAATTCAACGCATGCTCAAGTAAAATACTTATTGAATAAACTTGATAAAAATGGTGATAAACGTTTATCAAAAGAAGAATTTCTTAGTGAAGAAAATTGGAGTAATGATGAAAGACTAGGACGTTTCTTTGCCACTTATTATGATGTAAATAATTAAGAAATAAAATAAAAAAAACTTTAAACTGCCTTTGGATACTTTTTTCATCAATCTTCAACTATTAGGAAAATATTTAATAAATTGATCATCGATATCTATTGTTCGAGCGTGTTTATAACGTCAAAATTTTGATTGTCGACACAAACTGGTAACTTGAGCAATGCCGTCATATTTCCTCTTTTTCTCATGCATTCAACATCAAATATGCGAGAGTATTGATTTATAAAATAACAAACTTGACAATGATTAATCCGTCTTTCTCGGGTAATATTATATGGTACATCTCTCATTTAATAAAAAAAAAGAATTATATTTGTTAGATTTTAAACATTATTAAAATATATAGTTTTGAATGATGAATTTCTTTAAGTCAGATATATTCGATCAATGTTTCTTGATTAATTGCGTAAATCGAAAGATCTATATTGTATCTTTTTCTCTTATGCTATATTATAACAGCCAACATACATTCATGTAGTAGTTATGTCAGTTCAGTTTATTGCACATGATATTTATCAATGAAACATACAAAAAAACTTAGAATAACACTTAGTAGAATTCAGATATTGGAAGAAATCATCAAAGATCTTCCAAAAACCTTGTGAGTGACTGTGGGTGTAAATATCTACTCGTTCTATTCATATTCATACTCACACTCACACCCTCAATTTAATATTAAAAATAAAGTTAACTTTTTGGAAACGCTTTATTTCAATATGAACAACAAAAACACTCAAAAGCCAAATTTCACAATAAGAAAAAGCGGACTTTCAATTTTTCAGATTAAAGGTTCAGACTAATAAATTAAATTAAATATAATAGAGAGTATCATTGTCTTATCATTCTCATAAATCGATGTCGCCAAGTGATAATCGATTGTTTAAACTGTTTCTTGTAAAAACTCGATGGTAGAACAAATATAACAAAGACGAGAGATGATGGAATGAATGAAATAAAATATCCACAAAGATATAACCAAGGATTTCGTGATGCTTTAACACATGTTGATAGTAATGAAATAAGAAAGCGAGGAAATAGTAAAACAGCTAATACAACAGAACTAATGATAAGTTGTTTGTGTTCATTGATTTGATTAACTAGTTGTTGTCTATAATTGAATTTAGTTCGAGTGGTCGTTCGTTGTCGCGCAATGTTTATGATGATATAAAGAGCTGAAAATAGATTTATTGCACAAGGAACTACAAAATGGAAATGTTGAACAATTGTAGTGTATCGTTCAATTGATTGAGAATAACGAAGTACGCACCAAACACGTCGTTCTTCATGATCATCAAATAAGTCACGATATATGAGTTCATAACTCATTGAACCCAAAATTATAAATGGTAAAAGGAAAAGTATCCATCGTGCAATATATTTACTTCTTTGTTTATTAAAATTAATTCCTTGCAGGACTGATATTGCTCTTTCGATGGCTACACAAGTATTAAGCCAATTACTCATATTTAAGAAAAGACGAAGTAAAGGTTCAAGTACTAAACATCCAACTCGTAGAATATTACGATTAATCAATGGATTCATATACGTATATAATACAAACCAGAATTTTATAATTACCATAGTAACAATCAGAATAGAAATAATTGATGATAATCGAAGGTAAATTCCAGATCCTACTTTACGAGAATCACGATTATGGAAAACTAAATAACTTAGAAAACCATTGATTAAACCAACGAGAAAAATAATCATGATTAATGTTGCACTTAATTTAACTACCAATGATTGATCATTTAATGTACTGTTAGGTCGAATTTCATAACGTAATAAATCATCTAATGTTAATCCAATACCTTTAGCATAAAATTGACATCGATCACCAAAGAAACAATCGCTACATACACATAGAATACTATAAAAACATATAGGTTGATCTTGTAAACATGTTCCACCATTTTCACAATAAACATTATCGTCACAGCCAAAACTCAACTGATGATCTAATCGAAAACAATTACTATGATGTTCTTCTGTACATAGACACATATAAAATTCATCCACAAAACATTGCAGATTAAAATCACGTTGACATGGAATATGATAGTTTTTCAGCTGTTGAATTCGTGGTAATGATACTAATGTAGTGTTTAAAACTTCAGTAACGGAAGCACATCGTTGTGCAGGACTAATCGATGTTGTTATATTAGATCGTTCGACTTTTTGAAGCGCAGCCAAATAATAATGAGTATCAATTTTGACAAGAATCATTTTGAACATATATTGAGAGTATAAAATAACATGATTCTGAAACATAGTCATTTTTTTGAGTATAGTAAATGTTGGCATTGATTGTTCAAAACTAACTTCATTGTAGATATAAATGAGTAAGTGTGATGGAATATCAATATTCTTAAGAGAAATCTCTATTTTATGATTGACGTATTGACATCTTGATCCATAAAATTGTTCGGAGCAAAAGCATACATAACTTTCATCAATCATTCTCTCATCGATTACGACACATCGGCCATTATTTTTGCAAAATTCTACTGGACACATTAGTTTAAGACGACAAAATGTACCAAACCTATTATGAGGACAAACACATATTGATCGATTCTGACTCGAACCGATACAGATCGAATCTGATGCGCACATACTACAATCGATTGGAATATGACATTGTGCCCCAGACTAACCTGAATCACATTGACAGAAGAATCGTTCTTCATTATGATATTTTATGCAAGTGCCTTTATAACATTGAAAATTACAATGATTAAAATTCGATGGTCGAGATATTGGAATAGTCAAAAAAGCACTCAATCGATTAACTGGTAAAAATATAAATGGAATCGATAAATGCCAACTTAATAGATACGTCACTGAACTCTTGTCAAATGCATCAATACGAATGCTATACTTTTTTGAATTATACTTTCCTCGTGTTGAATATAACAGATAGATATCTACAGATCGACCACAATATTTTGATTCATAGGTGAATTGATCGTACGAATGAATTCCTTGTGTATCGTTATCATCTTCCATTAAGGTAACAATAATAGCATAGACAATCGGCTGATCGACCGTTGCCAATACGAGAGTTAAACTGACACGTTGATTTTGATACTGACATTGATCACCATAATAATTTGGTGGACAAAAACATAGACTACTATAATTGCCGACTCCAAGTCGATGATACATATGTAAACCATAATTACAAACATTGGACTGTATGCTATTTTTAATCAGCAATTCTGTCTTTTTGTCAGTGATTTGATTTTTAATAGAATTAGTTGGAATAGTCTGTGAGATTGGATAAAATAAGGCAGTATCTAATAAAAAAGACTTATAAGCTGTATTAATGATTCGACATGGAATATCCCGCATATTAATAAGATTATCAAAACTATAACCATTACATAATTGTGGACGATCAACACAAAATTGATAGTTATCATACTCTAAACAATCTTGATTTTCATTGCAAAGATCTTCATTGTCTGTACATTTCGTGTCATTCCAGCAATGAAATTTGTTCGTTTGAGAGTATTGAAATTCATCAGATGATGCTCCAAAACAATCAGCAGTTCCATTAATGATTTCACCAGCTGGTAAACACATCTGTGCATAGTTCTGTGGCGAAGTACAGAAAAAGAAATGATTTAACAAAATTGATTGAGTACAGTTTTCTTCGTCTTTTCCATCTAAACAATTTCGAAAACCATCACATCGTGTATAAATATTATTGCATTGCCAATGTTCACAATCCGTCTCATCTGAATGATTTTGTCCATTAATCAATATCAACGGCAAATCCGCAATACGATCGCATATTTGATAAAATAAAATTTCCTCATAACTTATATCCGTTGGACGAGAACAGATATTTGGTAAAACTAAAGGTGAACGACACTGTTTCTCATTTGGACATCGAAATCGAAGCGTTTGATTTAATACACAACTCAATTCAAATGCTTGTTCATCATCTTTTAGAAAACAATCGGGCATACCATCAACGATTCGATATTTAGAAATATATTTTGATGAATTCTTACAATGGTATAATGATGAAAAGTGAGAACTGATGTTTTGATAACGTTGAGTGATACAACCAATAAAGTATGGTTTGACTAAATCTATGATAGATTTCCATGTAGTTAATTCAACATTCGAATCTAGCCCCGTTTCATTTCCGTGCAGGCAGGTGAAGTTTTTATGACGAAATGTAGGTGTGAGAAAATCACATAATTGCTCATCATAACAAACATAATCAGGTTTAAGGGCTGATGTTGTATTGATATAGTCAATTTCTTTTGGACCATATAAAAATCGTACATGACCGAAGAGTACAGGAATAGCAGGAAATTCAAGAGGAAACGTACAGTTTTTAAAGTCTTCAATGATTGCAGAAGATTGTATGAACTGATCACATGTTATATTTTCGATTTTATTCATGATTTTGCTAAGACAAACCATAGCTATCCAACATGAATAGGATAAATTTCCTTGAATACTAAAGGATTGAGTCAATACTAAATGTCGATTATTTTTACATTGACCAAAATCTTCTACACATTGTCCATCACCACACGTAAATTGGCCTTCGTCAGGTCGACATACATATTCTTGAGATTCGAATAGATGTGGTCGATAATAAAATCTCAGAAGACGATTGATCTTAATAATTTCGTCCGATCTATCAAAACATTGTGCTTCCACAGATTCTATTTCCAAAAAGATTTTTGGAATACATAACCCATTATGACATCGATACTCATTGTCATTACATTCATTTATTTCTAAATTAAAGCATCCAATTTCATCAATACCATTATTTAGACAATCGATTCGACCATTGCATATCTCACGCCAATCAAGACAAATCGATGGACCACCACGATCACATTCTAAAAGAATGTAACACGTTCGTTGAAATATATTATCTGTTGAAGCCATTTCCAATGAATTTTGGAGGAATTCATCTTCGTTTCTTTTCAATGAATATTGACATCGAGATCCAAACCATGGACGTGTACAATTAAAAAACGTTTCATTCGATAGATTAGATTGAAATGGTTGATCAAGATAATATTGATATTGTTCAGCGACATCAATCGATGACGACCATAGAAGAATATCATATGAAGTAACATTCAGATGATATAATTCATTGAAAGTTACATATTGACCAGATACATTAAAAAAGTGAATTACCGTCAAATTCTTGTCGTTATTTGGACGAATACAATATTTAACTATTCCAAAAAACGATGACTTAGATGAGAAATAATGTAAACAGTCAAACCCAAATGAATCTGTATCATAGAATAGCGATTGTAAACCATTAGATATCGATAGAAAAAATATAATATAAAAAAACTTCAACATTTTTATTCAAATGCAGCCTTGCACACAAATGACAATATAATATATAGATAGATAGATTTAACACAACTTTTATGGTAAATATTCATCATTATTTGGTTATATTAGTAGTGTTCACTATTACGCGTGTGATTCTTCGAGACGTGATATATCAAAACACAACAATGCAATCTGATACTCCTTTTTATATTCCTATCTAGATATGACACATTCATTTGATAGAAAAATGTAGGGATTGTCAGGTATCTTCTTTTATTTGTTAGAAAATGAAAATCATGTATGAAGCATTTTGATAAGCAAAAAAAACTTCAAAAGCAAATATGAAGAATACCATGATTGTAGATACCATCATTAACATTGTGGAACGTTGCCAGAACAATGGTCATTGGTTACAAAGCCATGATTTCCATGGGGTAATTCGATCTTATACCATTTTTTCTTTTTACCCGACACGTTCTCGATTTTAAAGCAGTCACATGGATGGTGCTCGCTAGAGGCAGCATCGCCAATTACAGCACAGCGCATTGATGCACACGAATGGATAGGAACCCTTTGAAGACATAAAACATAGCTAGCCTAGTTATATAAAACAAAAAATATTGCAAATATTAAACTATTCGATAGAAAACAAAACTTTACCTCGCATACTGCCAGAGCGATGCCTAAGATGATTGAAAGACGAATAATAGCCAAAAACATTTTTGTTTTGAATTGAATAATTTCAGTAATCAAGACTACGCTTTATATACATAGTTGAATGCAAAAATCGCATGACTTATCACGGAAGTAACAGTATCTTGGGAAGTACATTATTGCGAAGCTAGTGATAAGTCCAAATGATGAGTAACTAATAATGGGCTTAAGGTCATTTGATTGGAAGAGAGGAAGTATTTGATTTGCATATTGCGTTTATTGTTTTTTGATCGAGATAAAATTTCACTTTCTGAATCAGCGATATATTATCATTCAGAATATCAGGATTCTGTTGCCGAAAGAACGCGGAAGTGACATCCTTAATATTTATTCAAAATCAAGATCCTATACATTTAACAGGATTTATCATCTGTAAATGAACGAAATTCTATTGAGTCAATCTGTCTATATTTATAGCTAATGACGGAACTATCATTATCATTCTTTTTTCATCTTAATTTATTGATGCAAAACAGAACTATTTGGGATTTTTAATGTTCGTAGACAGAATGTTGAATCATTTATCTATTATCAGTTATGAAATTAAGAGCTTCACTAGATTATTTCTGGCTTCAGACTATTTCCTAAATTTAACTGAATCGATCATTCACTGTTCTTTGATCAAGATGCAAAAAACTTGATGATTTTTTTTGTGCATCGTTTCAACGACGTCATTTAATCATAGGACCCTATTTGTTAAGAATGATCATATACACTTGTATGACTCATTACATCAAAGATTGTTTTATGGTGGGATGATTATAATTTCCAATTTAAACTTTTAACCTTTAATATTTTGCATTGTTGATTCTTGGATAATAGCAAAACACGTGAATATTAATTATATATTTGACTTTCATTATACATGCATTAATCTTTGAAGATTAAGTAGGCTTAGCTTCTTTTTGTAGTAGTATTGTTGGTAAATATTGAATCAATAATTTGTTTCCACGAAAAAACTACTACTTCCTTGTCATACGATGATTTCGAGCAATAGGCTTAAGCTGATTCAAAAACCAACTGCGATGAGAGTGTGGGCGAAGCGAATAAAGATATTTGATCTATCACACACAACTACTGAATATACGTTGTAAACTGTATATGCGAAAGTCTTTACAACTGGCACTTTTATAAATAATACTGAAGTGAACAAAATAATTTTTGCTTTGAATTATTAGATTCAGATAGAATTCTGAGAAGCGTTTGAATGGATGAAACATTAATACAGCAAACATGTCATGCTTACAGTGGTATAATCAGTTGTTATGTTTGTTTTTCAAGTTTAAAGCACATTTATTGAAAAAAACAAAGATTTTAATACAACTTTGAATATTATAAGTGTCAATCACACACGGTTAGTATCGAGAATCCAAAATATCTATTTCAGTGCACGCTAGAAGTACTAAATAATTTAAATTTGTTAGCTTGACAATATGAGTAATCGGCTAAACCAAATACGATCAACTTCTGTAACTTACAGTGCACGATCTTTCACTATTAGGCAAATTATTTTACGAAGAGAATACTAATAAAACATAAAATAACGATTTACTGTTGCGACAATTTAGAAAAGACAACTGCACTGCAAATAAATGGATGAATGTGTGAGTGTGATATTCTGCTCTACCTTCACTTTCAAGATAGTCGGCACTTAGGTGTGAATGAAGGTGCATTATTCTCTCATCGTCGATCTGGTTTCTACTCTCACTTTCACCTTCAACACATATTTTTGTGATACTGTATACAACACTACTATTGAGAACACATACAGATGGTGCATTTCGATACACTGTGTATCATAGTTTATTATAGCTATATTGGAAATTTCCAATTAATAAAAACAACGACCTTTGCCTTTGTAAAATATGAATAATAAGAAGAAACCTGATCATCATGTAGGTGATTCAAGAAAGGTCAATATATAGTAAAAAAGAAAGAGAAACCGATTGTTGAATTAATGTTTCTCCCTTTCATTCTACTATCTGTTTCAACAGTAATCGAGTAAATAAAGGGGAAGAACCTTTGAGAAAAATATTGTTATAAAATTGCGCATATAAAAACAAAATATTTAGGTCAATTGCGCAATCGATCACAGAAATACGTTGATATTTACTTCTAATCAACAAGGGTGTAAGTGTGGGTATGGGTGTGAATAGAAAAAGTAGACACTCACACCCACAAGATTAGAAAAGAGACAGTGAGATATATGCAAATGTGCAACTACTTTTCATTATATCAGATGACTAGATATATGTATTGAATTTGAGAACTCAAATATCAATGCTGATCTTGCTTCATTTCACAAATCAGAATGACTAGGTTTATATTTATTAAATCAATCTAAATAACAGAAAACTAGAATCATTTTATGAATGCACGAACTTTATCAATTGCTCTATTATTTAACAGGTTGTTTTTTTTTGACAGAATATGTCCTGATATCGTATTATAGATTGTATTTACGTTGCACATCTTGTATAAAACCTCTCGAATCAATCGTTAAACATATGCTGACTTTACTGATAAATATCAATGAGAAATTTTACTGCTTTAAATGCTAAATTACTGATTACTATGGAATTAAACATGATCAGTTTAGCAAATTATTGTAGTGACATCTTTATATTTTTTTACTACTCGAAAGATTCTTTCTGAGATATTTTCCAACTTTTACCCGATATGTTGTGGAACTTCATGACTCATTTTTTTGTATAGAATGATAAATATGCTACTCTTTTTATGTGGTGGAAAGAATTTTCATTGATAAAACTTTCTTCATGAAAAATCCATCAGTAAAGAAAAAGAAAATATATCCATTTTTTCTGTTCTACGCTATCGACTCACAATGAGTAATAACTTTATTACTTTCTTTGTGGTTACAGTTTCACATGGTATATATAGATTTTAGATTAAGATTTATTATGATCAATAAAAAATGACATCGAATAATCTATCTACTAAATGGAGTGTACGAATCGTTCCTCTTCCTGCAGCTCTCAGTTACATTAGACTAGCTCAAGAACTACGTCTACCAATATCTCGTGTCTACATTCCGAAGAATTTCAACCATAGTGCTCGATATGCATGGATCAATGATTTTACCAGCGAAGAGGATGCAAATGAGTTTGTACGTCAATGGTCAGGAGCTTTAATACAAGGACAAAAAATCAAATGTATTGCATCATCATCAAAAAGTGAACAGATTGATTCTTTTTGTTCTTCTCAAGAATCACTAGCGTCTGGTTCTGGACCAGCAAAAGAATCTAAAGCACAACGAACAGATTTCAATACTTTAACTACAGCATCATCATCATTTCAGCATCCACAAAAATCAAGTAAGTTACTTTCTGTTAATAATTAAAATCAATCCTGTGAGCTAACTTTGGTATCAAAATGTCCAAAAGTTCCTAAAAATCTGCTAAATTCATAGAGATACACTAAATATATGATTTAGTTTTCTCAGTAAACATAACTCTTAATTATCTAGAATTGATGAAAATTGAATGTTTTGTTAAAGATCTACCATCAACAAGAACTTTAATGGAGAGTCAAGTTATCGAAGACAGACTTCAATCAAGTTGTAGTGAAAGTGATGGAACGTACCGAGAGGAAAGTACCGAATGTAAGCACCACAATCAACAAAGCATACATTATCGATTACGTACAGGCTCGAAACGTGCATTAGTTCATGCAAAGCAAATGACTGTGGTACATGACGAACGAAATGCATCTGATCATAATTTAAATCGTACGAGAAGTGACTCTTGTTCATCAATAAGTTCATTACATTCGATCAGTTCAACTCAATCGATGAATATAAGACCACAAATGTGTCTTAATGGTTTAACATGTTTTAACGTAGACTGCAGTTTTGATCATCCGGATGGTTGGAATCCTTGTATGAATGGAGAAAAATGTGAAAGCTATGAGTGTACTGCTAATCATCCTTTTAAACGCAAATCAAAATGTCGTGATGGCAACCGTTGCAGAGCTAATAATTGTAAACTTTTACATCCCGTAACACGTATCGGAAAGTGTCCATTTCGTGCAAAATGTAAACGATGGAATTGTTCTATGCTACATCCTCGTACTCGAGCTCGACTGTGTCCTAATAAAAAGAACTGTACTAATTTAAGTTGTTTATGTTTACATCCACCAGAACGTACCAAGCTACTCTGTTCACTTGGAGCAGATTGTCATGATCTCTCGTGTAGACTTAATCATCCAGCCGAACGTCCACCGAAATGTGAGCAACCCGATTCATGTCCCAACTTGAACTGCAATCGCCTTCATCTACCAGAGTGGAATCCATGCGAAGCAGGGGATAATTGTGAAGACGAACGATGTTCAAAAGTTCATTCATCCGAGCGTAGTATCGGCTTTCAGCAAAACAAAGCAGCATCTGTCATGGACCTCTACACTAAAGCTCAGAATCAAAAGAGTAAAAAATATTTAAAAACTCTTGAGCAAAGAATCAAAGATCGTGAGAAAGCACAACTACCGATCCTATCTTACCGTGAAGAATTTTGTCAACGTCTTGAACGTGAACGTATCCTAGTTGTCACCGCTGAAACCGGTAGTGGTAAAAGTACTCAATTACCTCAATATGCCGCAGAACATTTCGGTTCACTTATCGTTTGTACTCAACCACGTGTTGTTGCCGCTCTCTCGCTCGCGCGTCGTGTTGCAGAAGAATATGATGGGAAATCAGTCGGTGAATCTGTTGGATATCAAGTGGGTAATGCAAATCGAGTACGTGGAACGGATATTATGTATATGACCGATGCTACACTCATTCGAGAAAGTCAAAGTGATCCTAGTTTGAAACATATTCGCGTTCTGGTCATTGATGAAGCTCATGAACGTACACTAAATACAGATGTTGTCATTGGTATTTCGAAAATGTTACTTTCACAGCGCCCAGATGATTTCTACGTTGTTATTGCTTCAGCTACAATTGATCCTAAAGGCTTTCTTCAGTTTTATGATCGTGTTAATAGCATACCTCTGGGAGTAAAAGGTCGAGTTTTTCCTGTTACTAATGATGAGAAAGCATTGTCAACAAACTGTAATGATCAAAAACTGAACATATCACATATTGTTCGGTACGTCGTTGAGATTTATCCACATCATAAAGGACATACACTTGTGTTTCTTCCTGGTCAAGGTGAAATTGAACAAGCATTGAAAATATTTAAATCTACATTATCTGATGATTGTGTTGCACTTCCACTCTATGGTTCACAATCACCAGAAGATCAAGAAAAAGTAATTAAATTTAATGAAATAGACAAACGAATGGTTATTTTCTGCACTAATGTTGCTGAAACATCGTTGACAATTCCTAATGTTCGATTAGTAATTGATTCGGGATGGGCAAAAGAAGCTCGTTATGATACAAAACGTCGTCTAACTGTGATTGAAACTGTACGTATCTCACGTTCATCTGCTGATCAACGTAAAGGTCGAGCTGGTCGAACTGCACCTGGCCATTGTGTTCGTTTATACGAAGATAAAGAATTAATTCGACAAAATATAGAACCAGAAATACTTAGATCATCACTTGATCTTGTTCTATTACAACTTATTCGACTCAAATTTGATCCAAAAACTTTTCCGTTCATAGATCAACCATATAGTGATACTATTAATAACTCGCTCGATCTTCTCACAAAACTTAAATGTATAGATGAACAAATGATTACAAAACGAGGCGAATTGTTTACTGAACTTGGACTAGATCCACGTCTTAGCGCTTTTATCGTAGATATTTATACAGAATATAAGAGTCTATTAGATTTACTAGTTGCTATTGTGGCAATATTATCAGCACCCGGTACAATATTCTTTATGGGTGGTGCAACACAAGAAGCAAAGCAAGAAGCAAAAGCACGTGTCGCCCTTGACGCAAACAATTATAAAAGTGATCTTTTACATTTATATTTTGTTTATGATCGATGGAAAAATTCCAGTGGAAAAGAAATACAAGGTAAATGCTCAAAATGTAATAAACTAATAAAATATTGTACATGTCGAGTGAAACACAGTAATGAAAATAGTTTAAATAATAAAATTCTTCAATATATTGATGGATCATGTACATCGATCATAAAACAGATCAAAAATGCTCGTTGGCTGCAACCTGGTACTAAAATCTTAGACGATTCAGTTAAAATTATTGGTAATCATCTTGCTAAACTTTTTCCTGAGCAATGTGGATATTTACTTGTTCCACAATTACCAGTGGAAGGTGTTAGATTAGTAGCCACTGATATTCGTGGAAGTATTAGTAACACCAGTGTATTCATGCAAAAGCTTCAGAAAGATTCAGATCGTGAATTTTATCAACATTTTGTAGCGATGACTATTACGCAGTTACCATCGGGAAGATATATTACTGAAAGACTTCATCCTGTACTTAGATCAGATGTTACAGTACAGTCATCTGTACAAAATCTGATGACGCTCGAAAATGTTGGTTGGGATCTTGCTTATCATTTGCGTCAAAAACTAAATACTTACAAGTCAGAACTATGGGCAAAATGGCTCGTTTATCATTATGATCGATCTCAATGTCGTTTTATTATTTGGGGTCTTGAAACAGATAGATCACCTATCGTAACTACTATTCAACGCTCTCATAACGAAGCACTAAAAAAACTTTCCGATTCTTATGAATTATTAGAATGTGGACCGATTAAAGCAAATTTTCAAAGCGGTTTAGTATGCACACATATCAACAAAATGTCTGATACATTAAAACTTCATCTTCAAAATATTCCTTGTCAAACGATGAATGATTTAAAAGATTGGATTAACAAGATGTTGGGCGTCGAATGGAATGAAATAAAAGCTCATGGTTTTTATACCGTAAAAGTCGACAATACAGAGAAGAAGAATGCGTATCTTATTTTCAAAAATGAAGATATATTCCGTTGTGCAACAAATAAGCTTCCTTCATATCATATGGTTGTTCAAGGAAGTAATTTCGGAAGATATCGTGATAGTGAAAAAGATAGCTGGGGTAAAGAACTTGTAATTCAAACGCCACTAAATGTCACTATCGGAGATCTTATTAGTCGATACGGTGCGGATATCGTCATGAAATGTGTACAATTAAATAAAAATAATGAAGAACTTCGTGCAGAATCGTTTGTCAAATTAAATAGCTTACCAATCACGACTGATGAGTTTTTTCTTCGTGAATGTCTTCAAACGCAAAATGGACCTATTCCTAAATATATATATGTAGGACGAACGAAAAATAATGCAAGCGGATGGGCAAAAATAACATTCCATAATGACGTAGAACGTAATCTAGCTGCGACTATTTTTGATACGGAACTATGTCGTAATATATTTCCAATAAATATTATTGGAAAAAGAGGTCCAACACAAAAATGGATCCGAACTAATGTAACGAAGAATGATGATCCTAATGCAAGACAAAATCAATCACTGTCTTTTAAAAATATTTTTCGTATCACTACGATCAGTCGTGAAACTGCACTACAGATATTCCCATCTCTAGATACAAATTTACCATATGCCAAACCTATTATTAATCGTCACGATACATCACAATGGGATGTCGATAGCTCGGCGACAATAACTATTCTGCGAACAGATTTATATTCGGACTTCCAACAAACGATTGATCGTATCTGTGAGAAATTTGAAGTTCAAGTGATATGTAAAAATATTCGAGATTTTGGCAAACGTTGTACATTCAATCATGGAAGTCCTCAAAAGACAAGTTTAGCTGCTTCGATGCTTGCGCAGACGTTTGCACCCATTAATATTAAATTAAATACAGAACGGCAAAAGCAATTATTCCGTGAATTAGAAGAAATTAATGAAATACAAAAATGGGCAGTAGAATTATGTTTAGCAATTAATCCGAACAAATATTATACTAATATTGAAATTCGAGGACCACAAACATCTCAAGGACAGTTAATGCGACGAATTGCTGATTATTCGAATACTTTCGATGCACGTTTTCGTGAACTTGAACTCAGTGCAACCGTAGCAACATTTTTTGGTCGAGAAAAATCAGCATCGATTAAATTACAACAGATTGGTTCACAATGGTCGTCAAAATCTTGTTTAGTTTCATTCAATTTCAAATCAGCAACGATAACAATTATTGGTAAACCAAACGTGTCATTAACAGATATGAATGCTTGTGAAAATGAAGTTCTTCAACTTTTGAACGACATAACTGCTACTACTGACGATACAGAAAGTGATGAAGAAGATGAAGAACACGATATTGAAGATAATAAAGATATGACATGTTTCGAAACAGGACGATTAGAACGTCGATGTGTCTTTTGTCAACAAAAATCATCGATTTCTACCAGTTTTTTTCGAATTTGTGGACATACCTATTGTCGATGTGCTGCTCGATCTCTTACTACATCTTCTACGTTACCGCTTCGATGCAAAGCTTGTCAATCGAATATTCATATTCGTGATATTCAAATTATCTTTAATAATGATGAACAAGTATTTTTGTCTTTACTTAAAAGTTCCATTCAACAATATTTAACAACAAATCCGCAACAAGATGATCGTGTCTTTTGTCCGAATAATGAATGTGATGGATTAATTAAACTCAATAATGATTATCAAACTTGTTTAACTTGTGGTGAAAATGTCTGTCCTAAATGTCAAGTAGTCGATGATGAAGTTCACGTTGGACGAACATGTGCTCAAGTTGTGGAAGAAAAGAAACGTTATCCCTTCTTATCTCCACTCTTTGCTGCTGCCATAAAATTTGTTCAAAACAATTGGCCATTAGATCCACTTGTCCGACCAATTGGTCGAATCGATGAAAATCCTTATCTTAGAAGAGAATACGAATCGTTAACACGTTTCTACAAAGGTAATGAAATATTAGGTCATTCTTCTCCACCAGATGTGGCCAAAGGATTTTTTGCTTATCATGGTTCACCTTTTCAAGCAATTAATTCTATCTGTCAAACCGGTTTTGATCCCAACTATCGTTCAGCTCAAGTCCATGGTCGTGGTGAATACTTTGGAGTCAATGCACTTATTTCTCATAGTTATTCTCAGAAAGGAGGTAGTCAAGAAGGATTTAGTCAAATGATTATTGCTTTCGTTCTTCGATGTACTCAAGTTACAACTGTTAAGAACTTTTGTTATGTTGTTGATAATCCAACGGACTGGACACATGCTTTTAACTTACCTGTACTCATTGTTACCTATGGACGACATGCAATCAGTCAACCATCTCCTTTTCCTCTTGATATTCCTTACTATTCGGATATAAAATCTTTTTGGATTCCACCTTTTCGATGGTATTGGCGGCAACGTAATGGACAACTTGAATTGTATAATAGTATTATGAATGAATTATTAGAAAAAATCCATGAGCATTGGAAATTACATGATGGACCTGTTGAAATCGAAACTTCACTCTTGACTTCCTGTATAGATGACATTTCTCAAACATATACAATTAATTTTCAAAATAATACACAAACAAATACTAGAACATCTTACTCACGAGCAATTCAACGGCGTCTTGTAAGGATACCATCAAATAATCGACATTGGTCCTATTGTAACGAACTTGATACTTGGATGCGTCATGATCATATCGTCGGAACTAAGATTGAAGAAGCATTTCAGTCGTATCGATCGGGTCAAGGTTCATCAACTGTTGACCTTCAATTTCTAGGATATCCAGAAATATATCAAGTTAATTTTTTAAAAGGCCAACAAAGAAACAAAACTACCAATCAAATCAAAAACATAAAACGCGAATAAAAATAGTTTCAGATAAAAAATACCTTTTTTTTTGTAAAAATAAATTTAATTGAATCAAAAATTGATCATTCACACTCTCCATTATGAAAATCATAGAAAACTATTAGAATATATAAATAAAAATGCAAAAACGTTATTATAGGATCATGTAATATTAAACATAATTTAATTTTTTTAATAAAGAAAATCAAGCTCAAGTGAAATTGTTGTGCTACGATGATCAAAAACTATACATGATATTCAGCTATCTTTATCTTGTAACGTATAGATTATTATAGTTTATAACTTATACTTATTCCTTCAAAAATAAATCTAATATATTAACTATTCCTACAAAGATCTACTAGATTTATTTTATGTTGTATCAAATGATCCGTTGACTGTGTCGATCGTAAAGATACATATAGGTGCGATATATCAAAATAACACCTACGAATTGGGTAAAACAAACAGCTAACATATTAAAACTTAAATATTGATTTGAAATGTGAATGTAGATGAGTGAATGGATAAACGATGTTGAGTTGATGATTATTATCTTTACGGCGTGTACTCATATCCACACTCACATTCTTAAATTTATAGTAAGCAACGTTGAGACTGCGTAAATGTATATTTGCACCAACTACAAAAAAATATCGTTTATGATTATGTATCATCGCATATACACGTCATATTTCGTTGTGAATAAGCGTCATCATGTTTGTCCTGTGGATTTTGTTTTTATGTATGACGATAGTGAGAATACATTAATAAAGAAAAATTATTTGAGTAGGAGAACTAAATATAAATAGATTGACGTGTAACAAAGTGCAGTTTTATTCATTTGTATCGCTTTCTTTCGATTAAGTAACCATTATAAAATATATCAATATGTACATATTACACGTGCTTATCATCTATGGATTAATATTTAATATTCAATGCTTTTCTACTAACCGTTTCCATCGATTTTTCGTCAAACCAATTCAAAAATGTTCCAATACGAAGATGTGCAAATCTCAATGGGGCATTTGTGGATACACTGAAGAGTATTGTGGTGTAGGTTGCAAATCAGGACCTTGTATACAAGGTAAGCGCGGTGCTAGTCATAGTATTATTAATAAAACCAATTTTCAATGTGCATTTAATGATCTTGATTCCGCAACAAGAACTGAGCGATTTAATGGTCTCAAACAATCAGGTTGGCAAGCAAAAAATGCTGATGAAGCAGCTGTTTTTCTTGCTCATGTGTATCATGAGACAGATGGGCTCAAAACTTTAGTCGAATATTGTGCACCTGGTATGTTTCATATTATTTTATTTTATTTTATTTTATGTACGATGTTTCTTCGTAGGATGTGGCCCGGATTATGCTGAATCATGGTGTGATATTCAAGGAGCACCAGGACAACTCTACTATGGTCGTGGTTGTTTTCAACTATCATATCCATGTAATTATTATGCAGCTGGACAGAGTTTAGGTTTAGATTTACTTAACCATCCTGATTTAGTTGCTCAGAGACAAGATATTGCATTCAAAACTGCTGTTTGGTTTTATTTAGCTAATAAAATGGATGTTCCAGCTCAAGAAGGAGATTTTGCTGCTACGACTCGAATTATTAATGGAAACCTAGAATGTAATAATGGATCAGAAGCTGCCAATCAACAAACACGAGTAGCAACATATGAGCGAATTCGACCTTGTTTTGGTTTAGGACCACCAACAATAAATCCTACATGTTAATAACAGTGTTACCTTTTGTTTTGTTTTTTAAATAAAAGTTCATATGTAAGTTGATTTGTTTTGAAGTTAATTGTTTCCCTGCATATGAAATTAATCGATACCTGGGTGCGGGTATGATAGATTTATTTAGCCATAATTTATCGATAAAAACAACTCATTGATATTAACATTGAATATGATCAATGATTTCGTTGTATACGCAAAAAAGATATCAAACATAAGTCTGAGTGTGTAGAAGAAATTAGGTTACTATATGTATCACTCTAAAATCCTTTTGAATAATACTTTAATATTGCTAGAATATCTTCGGTACAATACTTTTAGATAATATTATTTATTCATTCAAGTTTTTAACAGGCAAAGAGTCTATTCTTAAATTGAATTCATAGTATTACTTGCTATTAAGGAAAGATTTATTTCAAAATAAAAAAATCGACTACAATACGAAATTTGTTTAATGCAAAAGTCTTTGTTTATTAATATTGATATTAATCTTGTCTGATTGAGACAACTTTATGATTAGAATCATCACCATCATATGTAAGAACTGCACGTTTCTCTTTTTCAGTTTGTGGTAGTACACAACCAGTAGCACAGCTACCAACACGTACCGTATTAACTTTATAGCCTTAACAAAGAATAGTTTTATATTAAAAGTAAATTTATATGATAATTGAAATTAAAAAACTATTACCTTGTTCTTTTAATTCATTTTCAGCTTCATTTACATTTCGTCCAATATATTTTTGTAAATCCGAGTCGGATAAAGACATGTTTTTTCTTTATTTTGATGTCGATAATAAATAAATAAACGACTACGATACTCTTATTTATATCACATTTACTTATGCATGCTTCGATAATTTTGAGTATGCGAATGAAAAATATAAATGGAGAGACTATGATTATGTGTCCGTATTTGATATATTATGAGATAGAGAGAAGAGAAATGCAATCGACAGTGAGTATAAAGAACGTGAGCAGAAAATTTGTTTTTTTCATTTATACAATGGCAATGATTCATTGATGAAGTACTGTTTTCTATACTAATAATTCATCATAAGATGATTTATGAGAGTTAATAGCAAATCTGTAGAAAAAGAATCTTTCCGTCAATTAAATAACGAAGACATAAGAAGCACTGCAGTCTATCATCTTTGAGCGTATCTTAATTAAACGTTCAACGTAAAGAAAAGTTAGATATTCATAAGGAACCATTTCCTGGAGAACATTCGATAGTGGTTTAAATAATAATGAATTTATAATTTCAGTTAATCTTTCATTTTTCTTTTCAAATAATCTATTCACAAAAATCGAATAATCTTATTGAAAAAAGAAACAAATCAATATTTAAATTCTGTAATACAAATACGAGAATAGATTATAAAATTTACATAAGATATTTGACATAAAGAATATTTGAGAGTTCAAAAAAAAGAAAACATATCTGACTAGATACAAGACTTAAATTTTTAATTGATTTAAATCCGGTAAATCTGTTGCAATTTGTTGTTGCTTCTGCTTTTTATATTCTTGACTTAATTGTTTCATTAATTGTGGTGTAGATAAATGAGGATTAGCTTGTTTTATTATTTGAAAATTTTCTTTGACATATAAATTATATTTATTAATTGTTTTCCGTGGCGTTTGTTTATCTTCGAAATTACTATTTAAAATTAAATCAAATTTTCCCATACATTTTCCACAAAAATCAACTTCTAGATTAAGTGATTTTGAATGTCTAGAAACTCTAAAATAAATGAAAATTCTATGAATATTCAAAGACGAAAAAAACGAAAAGTATCTTTACTCATGTTGACATTGAATACATCGATAAATATATTTATAATTTACATCATATGTATGTCTAATTGATATTGGAGGTAAATATGGATAAGATTGTTGAGCAATATGAGTCCATTGTCGCCATCGAGGTCCATGACCATGTTCCATAACACCATCAATTAAAGTCACAGCTGAATGACACATTTCATGCAAAAGTGTATCACGACAACGTTCTAAAATCAATTTATTTCTTTTTCTTAGTACAAAAAAATGAATGTTTTACTAACCAGGTGAATCACAAACTTTATGTGAAAGTGTTATAACAGCAGTATATGTTGATTTTCGAGTTGTACAATGACCTGCTGTTGCGGTTAAACGACTACTCCAAATAACACTAACTTTATCTGTTAACTAAAGAAATTTAAAATAAATACAATGTTTCTGATAGAAATAATATTTACTTTCGAAGAAAAAACATCTTGATTAAATAAAAATAAAAGTTTATTAGCTAATTCTTGTCGTTTTTCTTTAAGTTTAAATCCTGATTGAATAAAATATCTATAGAAAATAAAAATAATATTTGTATTTCGCTATTGAATTCTCTTTTATTCTAATATGAACATACGATTGTGCATCTAGATGTTTATCTGCAAATGGAATACGTTCAGCAAGTGATTCAAGAAAATTATATGAAGTTGTTCTATCATCATTTATTATCGATGATCGAGCATCAGTTTTTGTAGAAGATCTTGATGAACTCGATGACTGATCTGATGTATAGATTTCAGATTTTAAACGAGCTCTAAATAAAAACAAAATTCTTCAATTGTCTTTTAGTTAAATATTTAATTGAACTCACGTATAATTCATATTTGATAATAATAAATGATTATTTTCATCAGAAGATTCCGATGTATAAACATCAGCAAGTCTAAAAAGAAATATTAGATTAATATACATATTAATTAATTAATCTCTACCGTTGCCATAATGGATCATTTGGAATTAATTGATTTGTTTTCGGTAGAATATCTATTTTAATATTTTCATTGGGAGAAGAAGAAGAAGATTTATCAATTACATTCTTTAAACTAAAATTAGAAATATTTAAACAAAAATTCTACAGATCGAAACAATAATTCCTACCTATTTCTTTTTTTTCTTCGTCGTTGAACTGGTGTATTTACTTGATGTTTTACTATAATCGAAGTTTCATGTTCTTGTACAACTTCAAAAATATGATAAAGTAAATGATGTATTGTACAGTTTAAACTTAGATAAAATTACCTTGTTCAAATGATTGCTCATCATCATTGCTACTGTCTGTGAAAGATTGATTATTAATCGTATCTCTAGAAAATAAAATATCTGAATATTTGATGTAATGATAAAAGAAATATACCTTCGTCTTTGACGTGTTTTTATTCCATTATTCGATTGATCTTGTGGAATAACTAAATAGAAAATGAATAAGATTTAATTATTATTATTATTATTTATTTTCTTCATACTTTTTTCTTTATTTAATCGTGGATTAGGTGAAAATATTTCAATTGGTATAGGTATATCTGTTTCAATATGTTGTTGAATATTTTTTGTACATAATTTTCTCCAAGGATTAGGACTAATAGGTTTTCCTGTAAATGCATTAACAAGTGTCTTGGAAATTTCTTTAGTAAATGTTCGATTATGATTATCTAATAATGGATTTTCATTATGATGATTTTCAAAAGATATTTCAGAACTGGCAGTAAAATTATGTTTATCTTTATTAAATAAATTTCGATATGATTCTAATGATAAATCAAAATCAGTAGTTTTTAATGGAATATCAATTGAATCGATTGAGGATAAAGTTGTAAAAGATAAATCTCGATTATGTTCAGTCATGTCTTTTTTTTCTTCTTCATCAAGCAGACAATGGTCAGTTGATTTCTTTCGTTCATCTGTTCATTTAAATATTATTTGTTGATTAGTTCAACGTTTCTCTTTTATTCTCGCTAGATATCGCTATAAATACATTTAAAAAAATTTAGATAAAATTGTTTTTTTATTTATTAACGAGATGACACTTTCATCCACATTCCATATTTTGGTCTAGCAAAAAAAAACAGAATTTATATTTTATTTATTGAAATAAATAAATATCTAACCTAAGAGTAACAGCAATATCTGGAACATGTTTTTGACCAGGAATAAGTTGAAAACGAAATCGTTTTATAATCATTGCTAACATGATTTTAGCTTCTAACATAGCAAAATTTTGTCCAATACATGAACGAGGTCCGCTTGAAAATGGTAACCATATATCAACATGACGTTCATCAAATCTTGATGGATCAAATTTAAATGGTTCAGTCCAATATTTATCTGAACTATTTTATTAATTAGATAAATATAGAAAAAGAAAATTTTTACATACTGATGAAGCATATATAAATTAATCATAATATCTGTTCCTTTTTTTATATGAATATGTTTTCCATCACTAGCAATTAAAGTATTATCTTCAACAGCTGTACGAACTAATGCTGCAGCTGGTTGATGAAGTCTTAAAGATTCTTTTAATACACATTCTGTATAAGTTAAAAGAGAAATTGTTGATATTGTTATTTCTTCATTATCATTTAATACAGAATCAATTTCTTCTTCTAATCGATGACATACATCAGGATTATTTGCTAAATTATATAATGTCCAAGTCATTAATGTTGAAGTTGTTTCATGACCAGCAAGAACTAAATTAAAAAATAAATTCTATAAGATCATTTATTATGATTAATCAATTATACCAAATGTTAATGCTTCTTGAAAAAGTTCTTCATCACTAAATTTACTTGTTTTATCATTACCATGTGCAGATAAAAGTAAATCAAGTAGGTCAGGTCCTATATAATATTAAAAAAATAAAATAAATATATTATCAATAAGATAAATCAAACCTTTACATGCAGATTTCGTTAAACCACGTTTTCTTTCATCAATAATATGTTGTACAGCATGTTTAACATTTCGTTTTGATTTCTCAATTCGTCTTTTACTTGGTAATGGTAATTGATTAATAATTGGAATAATACCAATCATATTAAATGTTCTTTCTTCAACATCTTTAAGTGTTGTTGTTACACCTTCATGAATTATTTCTCGAATATGTTCATTTTTCATCATCCCACTTCCAAATACACATCCAGTAACAATATCTAATGTTAAACGTGCCATTTCTTTATGAATATCAAGAGTTAAAACATTATTTTCATTATTCATCGTTGATGACCATTTATTAATAAGATCAGTTGTTATATCAACCATCAGTGAAGTCATAGAATTGATATTTTGATGTTGGAAAGCTGGTGAAATAAGTCGACGATGTTGAGCATGAATATTATCTTCAGCCATAAGAAGATTTTCATTACCTATTAATGAACCAAGTATAAGTTGCATTAAATTTGATTTATGATATGCACGAGCATTTGTTTTTAAGACTCCTTGAATTAATAATGGATCATTGATAGCCAAACGTGCAATAGGACCAAATGATACATGATAATAACTACCAAATTTATTTGCCATTTTAATATTATATGCCATTGGATCATCATCAAGAATAGCACGACGTATCATTAAAATTTCACCTATGACAGGTCTATATTGTCCAGGAATTCCTTGGGCCCAAAGATGTCTGTGAATACTCCATGGAATATATATCCAAAATTTCAATAAACGATAAACTATATATATAAATACTATCATGATAAAAATTGAGAGCCACATCGTTGTTACTCAATGAAGAAAAACAACCACCACGTGCTTTGCTCTTTATTCGAAAGAGAAAAAAATAGTAGTCTTGATGACTGCGTTCTTCATAGAAGAGTAAGAGTTAATAATACAGCGCAAGAGAATAGTCAAAGCAATATTTTCTTTGAATTCTGTATAATATACAAAATATGGTTTTATCCCATTGGAAAATTGTTACCAAATCAGAATACTAATAATTTTTTTTTATTATTATTTTGATTAAAAAATATTTTCTTAATTTATTACAGATTGATAATATTTATAAACTAAATATCAACTCATTTAGTAACTTCCGACAAAATTTGTAATTTTGAATAGTTCGTATTTTCAAAGTCGACTAATTACTAAATTATTCTGCGAGTGGCTGAACAATCAATAAAACTCTTCATAATTAGCCGTAACTTCGAATCCTTTTAATTTTATCCTGTATTAACATACCCTATTAAATGACACATGAATGCACGAAAACGAAGCTGGTTATTGTAGATACTTCTCATTTATCGAATGACGTACGTTTCTTTTTCTAGACAATGATACTTTATAACTTCAGTACCGGATAGTTGTGAATGCTATACAAAATATATAATCAAATGGATAATTTCATGTTAATTAAAATTATAGTATTTAATATGATTGAAATCAATTAAAATAACATACGAACATATATACTTTTTTATTTTTAAAATGGTACTTTTATCTTATTATGTCTTTTCGTACAAGGGTGTGGGTATCATCTTCAAGTCATACTCACATCTACATCCAGGCATTAGTTGATTTCATTCGCACTAAAACAACTATCTTCGAAACAGATATAATAACATACGAACTTTTATTTAAAAAATAAAACAAAAAGTAACACCGATATTAACATGTAGGATTTATTTTTGGTTGTCCTAAACTAAAACAAAGCCGAATTCGCTTATAGGTTGCTACTCGTGTTTGTTGATTGGCAACTCCTGGTCCACCATCACATTCTAGTTTACCATTGATAATTCGAGTCGTAGCAGCAAAATCTCCTTTTTGAGCTGGAACATCCATTTTATTTGCTTGATAATACCAGATAGCAGTTTTGAATGCAATATCTTGTCTCTGAGCAACTAAATCAGGATTGTTAAGTAAATCTAAACCTAAACTCTGTCCAGCTGCATAATAATTACATGGATATGATAGTTGAAAACAACCACGACCATAGTAGAGTTTTTCTGGTGCTGCTTGAATATCACACCACGATTCAGCATAATTCGAACCACATCCTACGAAGAAGCATCGTACATAAAATAAAATAAAATAATATGAAACATACCAGGTGCACAATATTCGACTAAAGTTTTGAGACCATCTGTTTCATGATACACATGTGCAAGAAAAACAGCTGCTTCATCAGCATTTTTTGCATGCCAACCTGATTGTTTGAGGCCATTAAATCGTTCAGTTCTTATTTCGGAAACAAGAGTATTAAATGCACATTGAAAATTGGTTTCATTAATAATACTTCCACTAACACCACTTTGGCTAGCACTACTTCCACTAACACCACTTTGACTAGCACTACTTACACTACCACTACTTTGACTGGCAGTAGTTTCACTACCATCACTTTTGCCTCCTTGTTCACAAGGTCCTGATTTGCAGCCTGCACCACAATAGTCTTCAGTGTATCCGCAAAAGCCCCACTTAGATTTGCACATATTTGTATCTGGACATTCACCTTTTATACAAGGTCCTGATCTGCAACCTGCACCACAATACTCTTCAGTGTATCCGCAAAAGCCCCACTTAGATTTGCACATCTTTGTATCTGGACATTCCTGAAGTGGATCGGAGAAAGATCGGTAGAAACGATTAGTGGACAAGCATTGAATATTAAATATTAATCCATAGATGATAAGCATGTGTAATATATACATATTGATATATTTTTTTAATGGTTACTTAATCGAAAGAGAACGATACAAATGAATAAAACTACACTTTGTTGCATATTACTCTATTTATATGTAGTTCTCTTATTCAAATAATTTTTCTATATCAACGTATTCTCACTATCGCCATACATAACAACACACCCACAGAACAAACATGATGATGCTTATTTACTACGCAATATGATGTGTATATGCGATGGTACATAATCATAAACGATATTTTTTTGTTGTTGATGCGAATATACATTTATACAGTCTCAAGGTTGCTTACTGCTCGCTCACTTATCACTCTCTTCATTGTCTAATTGATATCAGTTTGACTGAAAGAAAATAATACATTTTAAATAAAACAATATCTATGGTTCAATACGAATGTAGTGTAAGTTTGAAAATGTGGATATGAGTATATACCATAAAGATTATAATTATCAACTCAACATCGTTTATCTATTCACCCATCTACATTCACATTCCAAATGAATATTTAACTTTTAATATGTTACTTGTTTGTTTTCTTTCTTGTTTTACCAAATGTGTAGATGTTATTTTGATATATCGCCTATATATACATTTACGATTGACACAGTCAATGGGTCATTTGATGCAGCATAAAATAAATCTAGTAGATTTATTTTTTAAGAAATAATTAAAAATTCTATGAGAAATCAATCTGTTAATGATTTTTGTGTGAACAAAAATAAAAGAAAAGCTTGAATAAACTATAACTTATAATAATATAAGTTGTTTAAATCAACTTGATTTCTTTATTAGAAAAAAATTGTTTTATGTTTAGTATTACATAATCATGTAATAATTTTTTCTTTTGCACTTTTATTTTTATATTCTAATAGTTCAATACGTTTTGTTTAAACACAGAATGAAATTGCTGTATCACAAAAGATATTCATGATTAATAACAATATATGCTACAATATTCATACTCTTTTTAACAAATCCCATTTATTTTACATGAAAATAACGAGAACGTGAGCAACAAGTAAAAGAAAAGTGTTAAGTTTTCAGAATAGAAGATCATTATCCCGATTGACGATTTGAACTAACTGTTCAACAGGTCGATATAATATGTGATATATTTTTTATCACTAAATCATTCATGGTACTATGAGATGTCTTGAATGAAGCTGTAATAAGAGTGAGTATAATTAGGATAGTGGATTGATGCACAGAATATTCGTCCCACCGCAAATACTCTTGTTATCTATTTAATTCTGACATGGAATATGTGTTGATGAGTTATGTTGAGATTAGTAGAAATTCTTGATAGGTTTTACATGAGACTTGTTTATATATATTTATCTTATAATATTAATTAAGTTTGCAAGATACATCTGTTTTGATTCAATCTTTTATACTCAAATTAATGCCATGTTTAAATAGCCATCATAGCATTTAGAAATTCATATTTCTACAAAACGGTTATATTAGTGTCATTGATATCTTATTAAAATTTTAATCTAATTAAGGAGTATCTGATTCATGTGTAACATGCAAGAGTGATAGTTTCAGCATCTTGACATAATTATTATCATCAAATCACACGCGTGTAATATCTTTAACGTTGGCAGCTAATTAATTCAACTATGATATAGTTTCTTAGTTTATATTTTTTAAAAGTCAATAATCTTTGAAAAATGTACAATCA